GTGAGCTTCCTCCAGATCTCCATACTGTAGTTGATAGGTTTTGTAGGGGTCGTACAGCGCACAGACCAGCTCATTCACCTTCAGCAGATTATTCTCACCTAGGGGAGAAAGACATAGACACAACATAAGGACCTTAATCCACCCACATCTGCAGCATCTGCACACTCCTGTCTCATCTATACACAAACCCAGGTGTGGCAGCATGGCGGCCTCCAGGCTGTGTGCGAAGGTGGATGTGGTGTGATGGAGTTCCAGCAGGGTGTCGAGACGCTGCTCTTGGGCTGCCCGCTCCACGGCCGTGCTCAAGCACACAGGGATGGATGGGACCATGGCTCCCAGTGTTTGGATCAGCAACACTGTCACCACCTCATACGGGTTCTTGAACACCTGTTAGGTGTTACAGTGTAGGTAATATGTAAACAATTAAAAGAGGATTCTGGCTGACAGTATTTATACACCGGAAGCAGTGAGTAAGCATGGTTGGAACTGTGTGTTGTGGTGCGGTAGTGCGTCTCACCTGGCTGCTCCACTGTAGTTGAGAGTGCCACGAGGAGAGCAAAGTGTCGTAGAATTCAGACAGCTGTTGATTCAGACTGAGCTCGCTCTGAGAGAGATCCTGCCACATGCTCACCAACTGGCCCTGGAGATGCCCAAACACACATTGGATCACAAATGGACATTAGATTGTCCCTACACCAGACAATACGATTTTGTGATAGCTAATTTAAGGTCAGGCACCTACCTTGTGACACTTGTAGTAGTAGGCAAGCAGCTGTGGCATTCTATCTATCTCTGTGAAGACTTTAACAAACAGCTTGGCTTGGTCTGCAGAGAATAAATATGTAAACATAAGTCAACTTAGTGTAAGCCGACAGTGAACAAAGAGATGGAGGTTGGAATACATTTGAGAAACCATAGCACTTCTCACAGGTTCCTTACCTATAGACATGGAATTAAAGGTTGCGACTATTTGTGGACTGGCCAGGGCCTCCAGTCTGTTTTTCAGAGCCTCTAGGTGGACACACTTTTCAGAATAGTCTGGTGTGTCCACCAACATGGCCAGGCTGTTCTGCATGCTGGTAAGCTTGGAGGAAATTACTGCAAGATCCTGGAAAAGGAAGAGAACATATTGAAGATCAAAAAGGTCCACAAAATAATATCGAGTTAGGCGATAAAACACAACAATTTGATTAAACTATTCCTCCTGGAATATATAGACTGGAGCCCTGTGCACGTGTGTAGTGAAAAGAATTCCTACATTTTTATTGTTTATTCTAGGGCATTTTCTACTATTTTAAGAAAAACTACAAGGAGTACAATCAAGTATTTGTTATCTATGAACGCATACGTTGAATATCAAAGATATGCAGACATATGCAGTCTCCCAAAGTACCAGATTTCAAGACTTTAGGCAAATCAGAATGAACGTCATGGCCTTTGTTTTTATCCTAAATATAGTCATTGGGCGCAAATGGGTTAAAATAAACTGAACATACAGAAAGTCATATTACAGTAAAACAATAAATTCTATTCCAATCGTTTCAATACAATCCATTTTCTTTTTAAAGACCATGTATGGAGATGTTGGCCACGCTGAGTAGCAAAGGTTCATGATCTTTAAGCAGCAAGCCAGACAAAAACTTAACAAGTGAAGTGGAAATGTCTTCCATTCATACCTGTGTTTTGAAGGTTTCCTCAATGTCTGCACTCAGCGTGCTCCATTTGTCCGCCTCCTGCAGAGCTTCAGCTGCCAGCTGCATGCGGCCCTTCACCTGATCGATCTCCACCAGGACCTGGTGAAAAGGAACCACGTAATATAAAAGTCATACCTAAGAAATATCCTTACAAGTGTCCTTTATGCCACAGTCAGGCTTTCACTATTAGAGTGCGTATTATCAAATGGATTATTTCAATAAAATCAGGTTATGAGTCAATGTAGACTTGTATCATTGTTTTACAAGCATTACTTCTGAACAGTGAATATTCATCGTGTATGTATTTATTATTTATATACTGCAGTAATGATTGACTTGCACACCTGCATAGACTGCACAGTGTCCTGCTCGAACTTCTTGATGTCCTCTTTGACCAGAACCATTTGCTCCTTGAGGAAGGAAGCCTCCTGTTTCAGCGCCTCCACATCCCGAAGTACTCTGGGCATATTTTGGAGGGCCTGATTACTGCTCTCTGCACACAGAAAGGCAGCAATCTTTCAGTTAATGATGGACATGACAAGAAAAGTAAAACTTTCATAACATTATAGACTATTTGGTGACACTCTACTGTCATCATATTTCAGGTAAGGACTACTCATTACTCACCATTTACTCAGTTGTCAGTTTATTATGTACAACCAGCTAACACTAATGTTGTCCAACACAAGAGTCCTGCGATAAACCCTACCTTCATGAAGGTCCTAGTGTTTATTTTGGTGTTGAAACTATTTTCAAGTTGTGTTCATTCAACTGAGGTGTTTCTTTTATTTTGTCCACCTCATTTATATCAGTGAGGTTAGGCTGAATATCAGGAACACATCTCTGTATTACGAGTACAGTTCAATAGCTGAATCATCACCTCTCCTAAGCGGCTAAAAACATAAACAAACATAAACAAACATTGAACACAACATTATTCATCTCCGTATATGACAAGATAATGATGACATATCTGGTATTGGTAATTAGAATATTACCGTGTAATGGCTATTTCTCAAAACCACACATTCTGACACTACAAGGACAGAAAACTACTCACTACATAACATTTCACAGCCTAGTATTCAGTGATGTATAATGACCTATTGTGAAGATTGCATGCAGCAAAACAAACCCGGGCGTGACTGCAAACCATAAAATGAGCAAATACAGTCTAATACCACATCCTTTCCATAAAGCCTGCGTCAAGAAGGTTTTAATGAAACTGAGAGCTGTGGCTTCAACTTGAAGGACATTTTGGAGGCTGTTAGTGTTGAATTGTACTGTATTATACATAGAGGTTGTAATATATAAGTCTAGCCTTACTGACCAACTCTCACTATAATGAACACAAAGCAGTCAATAGGTAGGAATAACAACAGAGCTGTTGTATTGTGCTGCGCAAGATTTACCCGGGTCTACCTCATGACTGAGGGACAGCAAGACCAAACACAGGTCCTGTGTGCAGAATGAACAGTCATTAGTTTACTTCAGCTGCTCACCCTCAATGGCATTGTTGACTTCCTGGATGAACAGCTGCAGTTTCATGACCAGTGTGGCTGCGTGTGTGTCCGCCTTCCCCGGCGCGTCCTTCTGCACCACCCTGAAGGCGCCATTCACCCACTCTTTCACATCAAAATCATCGTCCAGGAATTTGGAAAAATCCATTTGTCCTCTTCACTCCTTCACTAATGCAAGAAGCTGGGCGGTGTTCAGTGAAACCCTTCTGCTGCAGTGCAGTCTGTGTCATCGACCCATTGCTAGCGTTTGCTAGTTTTTCCCAAACAGCGGCTTCGACACGAATATAAAATAAATAGCCCAAGAAAATGAAATGATCATCACAACTAAATAGAGTTCCAACAAGGCGACGGCTTCCTCCAGAGTTGTTTTTTAAATGTTTACGGCTTTAAAGGAGAAATGTAGAGGCATTTCTGAGGGTTTGATGCTGTTGGTGCTACACTACACTTGACAACAACTTCCTCTTTGTGCTTTCTATTTACCTTCCCCCGGAAACAAGCGCCAGCACAACAAACTGACCTGCTGAATAAAATATATTTAAAATAATAATGATGATAAAAATAATCGAGCACATTTCTTTAATAAAATGGGACAGTTTGTGTGTTTTTAAATGAAAATATATCACATTTGGTCAAGAAAAAAAGGGAGAAACACATAAAGTGTTTAGTTTGACGCAGTGTCACAAATAAGTCTATCCGTGCGGAAACCTTTTTATTTTTCAAGCATTGTGATGGGACCATTGACAGTGGGACTTATTTGCTTTGAAAATATCATTCAGACTTCTTCATGCCCAAACAGTTCCTACCCATCAGATTTTTTTATGTTACTAAGGCTGAGTTTGAGTTTGAGTTTTGTGTTTACATCATCAAACATGTACACAGGTCCGCAGCACGAATGCATGCACTCTGCTTCCCTCTTGAGGCAAGCAATCAAACTGCAAGTGGAGCTAAAAATGAAGTTGAACATTTTATGTAGCATTATGACATTAACATATGATCAGTTTACCAATGCAGCAACAATAAAAAAAAGCATAGATCAGTAATTCTTAATGTGCCTCGAGATAGTTTGTCTCTCACCTTAAAACTATAAAAACTAAATTACAATAATGTCCATTGTAGATTATTCTAAATGTGATCTTTAGGAACTGAAGACTGATGAAGCTTTGCAGAGTGAGTCTGGACTCCCTAGGAAAAATAAGGAACATATGACAGGAAGGTTTGAGCTGTTAATGCTGCTCAGCATCAACAGGAAGGTATCTGTCAGCACTGTTAACCAACATAGAATATTACATATTTATGGATTCATAAAATGGCATTTGATAATAGGGAGCTATGGGCAAAAAGCATCCTAGCCGGGGTCTCATTCTGGTCTTACACATCACATCTAGGAGAACTGCTGATGCAGATGTCAGAGTGTAGACCAAGCAGAGTGTTGATAGACAGTGGAGGGATCTGACAACTATTGGAAATCTTCCTCTTTGTTTCACTGCTTTTCTGGTTGGGAGCAGAAAACCACTCTTCACCCTGGATTGGGTGTGATGCTGAAGTTTGATTTAAGAGTAATTATACTAATACAATTAAAAAAATAATAATGATTATGCCTTTCTGTAACAGTGTCCCTGTTAAAATAATGGCTTTACAAAGTCATGCTCTAAAAAAGTTCAGTTACTCCGTATGTGCTGCAGCAGACAGTTATCACTACACACCGTCTGTATCATTTATACCATGCAAACTAGATTGTGTGGTAAGTGGAGCTGAGAGGCAGTAAAGCAACGGGAAACACATCAAACACAGCTCAACTACTTTCTAGCAGCTAACTGGGAGGACATATAAAACAAAGGTGTTTAAACTGCTCTTCAGCTCATTTAAAGATGGGAATTATTGATGATATCAAGGACACGGTATCCAAGGCGGTGTTTACTCCTTCTTCGCTGTTATCTGGCCGAGGCGGACTGCACGCGGCTCAGATCCTTCTGTCTCTGGTCACCTTTGTCCTGGCTGCCTTCAGAGGGGGGAGCACCCATACCTACTGGAACTATGCAATGTTCACCTGGGCCTTCTGCCCCATCATGACCCTCATCATCACCATTATTGAGATGTTAAAGCTTGATGTCATACTCAATATGTTTTGCATGGACTGGGATGACTTCACCACTGGGATGGCCATGTCTTCTACACTCATGACTGTCTCTGTCGCCATTACCTATGCCAATTTCTATGCCTGCCTGAAATGCCTGTATGGTTGGATAGTGAGCATATTTGCTTTCTTGTGTGGCTTTGTCTACACAGTGGAAGTGGTGAAGGACAAAATCATGGACAAGAAGAAAGGGTCCTACCTGTCTGCTCTGCCTGGATTCTGGAAGGTTATGGAGGCCTTTGTGAGCTGCATCATTTTTATATCACTGACTGGTTACAGAGACAAGCCGGCTTTGATCTTGTGTATTATAGCATATGCCATTCCTTTCCCCATCCTCCCTCTAATAATAGCTACCAACATCTTAAAGAAACTGAAGATGTGTTTGCCCTTTAACCTGGACAGGTTTGTGTTTATATTTCTGGTGATCTCTGTTGTGCTGTATATATTTGCAGCTATTGTGTGGCCCATTTTTACATTCAGAAACAACCCTCGTCCCAGTGACTGTCCACCAAGCTTCTGTATCTGGGCCATACAGTTTATGGTTACATTTATGACCTATGTGAATCTCATTCTTTTCACACTGGACCTCATTTTTACCCTGCTTGGCATCTGTGGGTTTAAACGCACCTAAACTTTAACAGGACATTTAAACTTGTTCTTCAGGGTTAGGCTTAGTCTTAATATAAAAACATCTCTTCCCATTACATTAAAACAAAAAAGTGTGTTTTTTTTCTAGCAAAAAATATGTTTCTAGTTTAAATTATGCCTTTAAAGCCTGATGTAAATTGACATTTCTGATCAGAAGTCACGTGATCACATTTTCCACATTTGGGTCCATGAGTGTACGCAGTCTCTTTTGGAGCACAAGCAGCACTGCAGCTGTGCACCAATCATGGATTGGGGCTTTAAACATCCATTTCTGGTCACACTCAAATTGCCAGATTTAAAAGCTAATCGACATTTGTGGTGATGTGTAAAGAACACACAAGGCCAGGATTTTGTCACACTGGCTCAATATCAGACTGAACACAGAACAGAAAAGTGGCAACAACAAAAAAAAGCTACAATTCTAGCCATAGCGACAGTTCTGAGCAACTAGGTTTCTGGTAGTATTCTTTTATATATTCTGCGTATTATGTTTGCATGATGAACATTTGAACATATATCCTTTGTCCAGTTTATTAATGGTCCAATGTAAAGTATAATGTGTGATGCATAATTAAACCTAATATTACAATTCACCTCTGCATTTTTTTCATTGTCCATTTTCATAATGTGATATGAAATATGACCTGCATATGTCACTGCCAATGAATATTAATAGATGTCAAATGTGTTGCATTACGTCTGTTTGAAAATGAGATTACACATGAATGAACACACCTGTGTATCCTGGCATCTGTCAGCCGCAGACAGAAAGTGACTGATGTGCAACGGGAATAAAGTGACACTGCAGTTTAGACACATTGTGACCTCATAAAGTTCATATTCCATTGTCGATTTCCAATTGAATTTCAAGGTAAAATCTGGTTAAGGTAAAAGAAATCATTGTCAGTTCACATAATTTAATTACGACAAATGTGAACAGATAACATGAAAAGATAAGAAGAAAAAGATGGAGCGCATTAATTTGGTCACACTGATTTTAATCACAAAAGGGAGTAAATGTTATTTGCTGATGTTGGTTTCTGAAAACTGAATAAATTACTCAATAAAATAAAAAATAAATACAAACATTGAATTGCAGAAAAACTCCATAGATAAGCAGAATAAAAAACAGCATTGAGGGCAGCAACAGAACATATGGTATATTCCACTTCAGACATTCATTAATTACACACTGACACACACACATCTCTCCCTGCCAGAAATTTGAATAAAAGGAAGTGTGTAAAAGGTGCCTGTCTGTGGTATAAGACTTGGCTCTATCTCAGTATGAGAATCGAACAGCAGCAGAACAAGGAATGAGCTGTTCACAGAGACCTTTGCTTCCTATTTTTTCACGTCAAGATCTTGAGCTCCTAATTTGAGCATCATGTGTGGCCCATTCAAGGGCTGTCAGGGCATTTTGCGCCTCCTGGAAATAATCTTCAGTGCTTTGGCGCTCATCATTGTCATCTTCAGAGGCAGGATGGTGAGTCCATGGGGTGTCTGGTGTGAGTTTGTCTGGGTTTTCTGCATCACTGTGCCCCTGGTCCTGACCGTGGTGGAGGCCAAAATGTGGCACATCCTTCTGGCCGTCTTCCTCCCCAACTGGGCTGACCTGACCTGCGGGCTGACCACCCTGTGTGCTGTGACCATCACCTCAGCCACGGTCATCTTTGCAGCCGTTTTTATCTGCCTCTCCTGCATCGTCAACATGCTGTGTTTCCTCTTCTCCCTGATTGCCACCGTTATCTTCCTGATCGATGCCGTAATGCAAAAAAAGAAATTTCCAAGCGGCTACCTATCCAGCCTGAGAGGAGGTCTCCGCACAACAGAGGCCTTTATAGCCTGTATCATACTCACTGCGGCCACTGACCACTTTGTGAACGGTGAATGGGCCTTTCGGCCTTTTGGGATGATATGCAGCATCATTGTGTTTGCCGTTTGCCTCCTGGTCACTGTGGTCATCATCGTTCTCCATCTGCTCAAGCTACTGCAGTGTCTACTCTCGTTCAGGCTGAGTGTGATGGAGCTTGTGTTCAACATTGTGGCGGTGCTGTTGTACCCGCTCGCTGTCATTCTGTGGTCTGTCTTTGGTTACAAACGCAGCAAGTACAATCCTTATATCTGTGAAAAGTGTTCCTTCGTGGACATGAATACTGTTAACATTGGAGCCATTGTCAATCTGGTCTTTTACATTGTGGACTTGGTTTTATCCTTCAAATCTCTCTAGAAATGGAGACCTGACATGTATCTAGGGATTCAGATGAAAACCACAATTTAAGTTGCATGGTTTCATTTTCTCAGAGGTAAAATATTGGATGGGCCGTGGCTGTTTATAGTCTGTATGTTGCATAAAATCATGTGAAATATTAACATTATATAACATCCCTATATGGCTTTCAATAATAACTTTAAATCCTGGATTACAGCGAATAAATGGTGAAGTCAGCAGCAGACAACTTGTATACATAAAAGGTTGTTTTAGTCATATTGTTACTAACACATAAATGCCTTTTGGGGGGATGGCAGGGGGTATTTCTTGTCAAATTAAAATGACTACAGATGTATAATGTATGATTTGAAATTGTGTCTTTACAATAAAGAGAAGAAAAGTTTAGCTTAATCCAGAGTGGACAATGCAGTTTGCTATATATCTAATCATTTGAAAATGTTAGTTGTAGACTTCAGTAGATATCAGCAGACATTTGAATATTTCAAGTGTTATTGCCTCTCTACTAAAACAACAATAGTTCAGAGACTTGTGAGATTTGAATATACAAGTCTGGCAGTTAATGCAAATGCTATAGCAAACACTCAGAGCTGATACTAAAGTACTTTTTAAGAATAATACAAATTGATTTACACACTATTTTTAAACAGTTTTGTTAGACATCATTACATGATTTAATTAAAAGGCATATAAAAACAATGTATTACAGTCCAAGAGAATCAGAGTTCCTGTTGTGAAAGGGCATCAGTGTGTGCACACTGCTGCTCCCTCAGTCCTCCTCTGGTTCCTCAAACTCCACACTCTCCAGTAGACCCTGAAAACAGAAGTAGTGGGAGTTGCAGTAGACAGGAGGTTTGCTGGGACACGAGCCCACCACTTCTGGTTTCAGCGACGCAAAGGGGTTGGCTCCACTTCCCTTCAGGTCCATCTCCAGCTCCAACAGGATCTGCAGGGAGTACGTCATCTCTGTCTCACTGTGCATGGAGGACAGGAAGCAGCCATTACTCATGTCACAGACGAGTTCACATGAACAATAAGTGACTGGGTTTCAGACATTTGGTGTATTTGCATACTTCCACTCACTGGGGTAACATACAATACAGTAATGCAAATAATATGCACCAATGTCAGTGTGCTAATTTGTATATTATTCACAGTTAAAGTTACTGATTAGAATATGAAGATCAGAGGTTCAGTAAAGCATATTAAACCAATTCAAGTTACCAAATACTTTATTTGCAATATTCTGTAGGCAACAGACACAACACTCTTGTGTTAATCAGTGGTGTATTTATCTACAGTCTGATATTATTTAAAGAGGCATAAACTCCAAATCCACAGCTCCTCTCCCCCAAAGCATTTATAATCTGATTACTGTAGTGTAATGTGTCATCTGAACAAGTAGCATAAAATAGAAATATTCACGTAAAGTACCTCAAACTTGTAGTGAAGCACAGTACTTGGGTAAATGTACTTAGTATCAACCTCTGAAATTCTGTACCACTCACCTGAGAGTAGTGAAAAGTGAAGGAATCTCATAATCCCTGAGGAGCAGAAGTGTTGGAAGCCAACCCTGGTCGAGGCCCTGACTAGCATCAAATCCTTGACACAGAAATATGTGACGGAAAACAAATCAAAAAGAGCTCAGATTGAACAAGAACCTCCTCCTGCAACACAACAGTTCAGATTTTGTGGGATTGGTATTAGATTTTTATGTAATGGGAAAAATGTTCTCACCAGGATGAAATCCAACCACCAAATCTGGCTTGGCTGCTTCCTCTTTCTCCACCAGTTCCTCCCAGAATTCGTGGTAGAGGCCCTTGTAGGCGCTGATGTAGACCCTCTTCTTGGGGCCAAACGCCCTGAGAGGAGGCCTCATGATGGGGCCGTCCACCACCTCTGGTCCCACCATGACTATCTCGATACCCTGGTGTCCAGGGAACATGTTGTTCAGCTCATCGTAGTCAGTCAGTCTAGCTGCCATAGTCTCACTATTTCCTGCTCCCACCAGGTGAATGGTGAGAGGTTTAGAACAAGGCTTAAGACCAAACAGCCTCATCCCCCAGGCTATGCTCAGTGGTCTGGAGAAGAACTCACTGCAAACCCTCCACAGAGACTGCTTCAGTTCCTCATCATCAGGCTGAGGCCTGCCAGCGTTGGTCCACAATTCTTTCATGTTTGCTCCTTTTAAAATGGGATCGAGGCGAGCCGAGAGATCTCCCTGCATCGCAAGCCAGTCATCCCAGCCTTTAACCTCTGACTCAGGCTTTGACCATTTTTCTGTGGGGAATGGAAGGTCTTCTGATGATAGAAAAAAACAATGAAAAATAGTTTTATAGAAGCAGAGACAGTTCATGAGTTTTGGTAACTATCCTTTCTTACAAAAGAATAATTCACCTCTTTTACAGTTTGTGTAGATTCTTTTTAAATATACGTTTTACCTTTGAACAAAAGCCACTCCACAACTCTGTCAATGGCGGTGAGACGCAGCTGTGAGCACAACTTCTTGTGTTTGGGCCAGTCGTCCTTCTGACATTCTTTGCAGCAGTAGTAAACATGTAGACATCTGTGCAACGATAGGAGTGAGAGATCTGTGGTTGTAAGAAGTACTGACTCTGATGAGGGAATATCTTGTCCGCACCCGTCTGCTGGGTGAGACTTTTTAGTTTTTACCTGCCACAACGCTTCAGGCTCTGTGGGTTTGAAAGTTGATTGGGCTGCTTCTCGCAGTGTGAACAGATTTTAAAAGATTCCTCCATCTTGTCGAACATTTCTTTTTGAGACCGGAAGGCCATGGGTTTGCCCTTGGCCCCCAGACCAGCTCTGGAGAGACAAATAAAAGAGGAATTTAACATCCTTAGAAAATACAGAATACAATACAATTAATGTGCTGTAATATATCTGTATACCAGTTATAAAAACTTCAAACTAATGTAACAATTGCAGAATCCATGTTCACCTTGTCCTCAGGTCAACAACAGACCACTGAGGCCTTTCTACTTTTCTATTCTTAGACTAACATTTGCTACAGTAGGAGGAGGGGAGAAGAGGGAGGCGAGGGCAGATCCATAATGCGTTTACATTTAAAGAAAAATAAAGTAAGGAAAGGGACCTGAAGCCTAGTGGTGACAAAAGGGACAGAAAGTAACAGCAGGGAGCGAACGCTTTGAAACAGGCTGCGGTGGCAAGCTAACATCTCAAAATGCCATTCAAATGTCGAGCTGCCATTATTAACGAGCACCAGGTGGCTCCGCTCTTGCGCGCGCGGCTTCAGACGCCTATACGTTTTTTTAATTGCGTCATATAGGCGGACATTTACATTAAATGTTTTTAAAATTAAAGTTCGGGGTAGAATATATGTTAATAATGTCGTCAAACCTTACTTACCTATCAGTTTCCGTCATTTTGTAAATTGAGTCTCCCCCACTCGCTGGTTCTCCCTCCCCTGGTCCTGTGGTTTGTTATGTGAGCGGGCTGTTGGGGGCTACTGGTGCCAGATATAGCACCTGTGCTTTTCCTTCTAGAAAGTTCCAAAGTCCAGACGGTTCCTGACTTCACAAGACTTACAAACAGTGGCAGATACAGGTCGAAAATAAGAATAAGAAAATCAGAGCTGAGAAAGTGGTGGTGCATTTATGGTCAAACCCTTTTTAAAGGTCCAGTGTGTGACATTAAGGAGGACCTATTGGCAGAAATGGAATATAATATTTATGGATATGTTTTCATTTGTGTATAATCACCAGGAAATAAGGAGTTTTTTAGGGTTATATAAATATATATAGATATAGATATAGTGTGTGTGATTTCCTCCCTAACAGTATTTTCAAACTTTAAGGCCACAATTATTTTTCTTGTTTTGAGAGTTTTTTTTAAATTTTCTTAAATATAGAAATCTACATCCCCCAGCATCTTTAAGTGGTGTTCAGTGAGGCACCAGAGTTCTTCTGCCAGCTCCTTCTCACAAACAAACATTACAAAGGTTAACTAAGCAAACACTCTCCCACAGATGGTGTTCAAATGTGTGCTTCTATTATTAACGCCAGATATCATATAAAAAGTATAAAAAGTGAAAATACTCTCTGATTCTGAGAGAAATCATGTATCCAAAGAGCTGTTTCTCCTTGTTGGGATCCCCTGAGGGTCTTTTTAATCACTTGGGGTCTTCATTCTTACAATACAAATAATTGCATTTTCTCAGCACATCAGTATTATTGTATATACTAAAATATTTATAGTCATTTTACTCCTTGGAGATACCTTTTGTTATATCTGTCTGTTTTGATCCTGGACCCGTTTCTAATTTATTTTTTCATCCTGGGGCTGTCATCCATCTCCTCACTATTCATTAGACTGTTCCCTTATCTCTGTTCACATCCTTATTTCCCTCTCTCCACTAGAAGGGCACCCTAGAGGGCACTGTATTGCATTCTCTCCACTGGGAGGGCACCCTAAATGGCACTATAGTGGTAACCAAGAGGGCACTTTTGCTTTGTTTCTATCAAACACGGGGGCACCATGACCTAGAAACTCCATTATATCTGTACATTGTACACATCCATTACTGTAGAACAAGACTAAACCCAGAATTACTTCTTTTTTTAAAAAAGTAATTTAATTTAATTTGTTGGCTTTATTGATAAACAGCTGTAGAGAGACAGGAAAGGTGGGTTGAGAGAGAGGGGAAGACACGCAGCAAGCGGATTCGAACACAGTCCGGCAGCAACTCCGTATATGGGTCGCCAGCTCTACCGACTGAGCCAACCGGGTGCATCCCTGAATTACTTTTAATTTAAATGTAAGTTTGATTCACTTCAATCTTAACCTACCAGCCTGACCACTAAAAAGTCCAGAGCACTATTATAGTACTGCTTTCTGTGTCATATTACCACGTTCATCCACTAGAGGGCAGTGTCACACTGTAAAGGCTGCAGCACTGGGACTATTGAGACATTTCCTTGTTTTATGAAGCAAGGCACACAGACAGATATGTAATGGTATGTTTAACACACTGCTATCAGTGTCATGAGTGAGCATTATAATTTATTTTCACACATCAAACCAACAAACAGCAGATAAATTTAACCTTTTTCATTGGTACAGATAGCAGTTTTAGGCAGGATTGTCCTCACACCCATTTAGGTTAGTAAGATTGGATTTGGTGACCCACCGACATGAAATGTTCTTGTTATTCATTTAGAACTAAGTCACTGCACACAAGGAGGTTATAATAAAAATATGTATCTATTGTAATTAGGAGTCTTCCCTTATTGTTCTAATGTGTTTATAACTTGACTACTGCTAAATTATTGGAAAATCAAGCCATTCCTCTTTTTAAATGGAATTTATGGATGTAACACTACAATATGGTATACAAAATTTAAAGTTACCGATCATACTGACCACTTTCTTCACGAGTAATTCCTGATTAACTCTGAACCAGCCAGTGAACAGCACAAAACTAAAAAAAAACTATTAAAGACTCATTCATTACTAATTACTTAAACATTAGTTACTGTTTTTTGTGCACAGACGTAAACTTACATAATACATAATACTGAGTGGTTAGGCTACTACTTTACTAGTCATTGACTTATTGTTCACTAGCAGTTATTTTCTCATTCGTTCCTCATTTGTTCCCCGGTAACTACTCAAGATTTATCTGAAATGTTTGCAGAAGGTGGGTTTAATTTCGTAAACATGAAGTGGCATTTCATAAGCTGCCACAGAGGCAAAATCATGTAATTTTTGTCCATGCTTTGTAATATAATGCAATCCCTTACAATAGGCCGGCAATAGGTGAAGCATATATTGTTCAGTTTTGTTGAGACTGTATCAGACAGGCAATGCCTTATGGCAATTTTTAAGCCTGTGCCTCATGCTGTTTTTTGGATTACATTGTATTGTCTGGTGTGACTGTTATCAACCCAGAATACAACTGAAAACAGCTGTCAAAGAAATGCTGCCCGGCTTTTGGGCCATTTTATTGTCAAGAGATAGAGAAATGGCATGATTGCTTAGGGAGAGTCTCCACTCAGCACATAAGAACTATTATATTGTCTATTTAAGAAGACAAAGCCGTGGTGATCAGATGTCTAAAGCATGAACAGTTGAACAGAGCCACAATTTGTAGGCAGGTTTGGGTTCACCAACAGAACATCCATTGTCCACACGCACCACATACTACAGAACAACAACTCACCATTTTAAAGTCCTGCAACAGCTACAAATGAGAAACAGAATCACAAAAAATAAGAAAAAATAAACCAGGCTTTAGTTAAATTTGAGCGCTGTGGCACTGTATAGTTTATTTAAGTGTAATATTAGATCATGAGTTACATTAGCATGCATGTGATCTGATTGTGAGATTTGGGAATAGGTGTACCCACAGATCAATTTACATCAAATGATGAATTTTGGTCTCATTATGACCCTTAATATTCAACACTGATGCCACCTCAGGGCACCAACACAGTACAAATCATTGTGTCCCACTGACGCCCTCAGGTGCCATCATTCTAAATAATGAGCTTTGAGAGATTTCTGTAATCTGTCTCATTAATTGATAATTTCAGAATATAAAGGGCAGTGTTTAGTATATTACTGCAGCAATGAAGGTGCATTTTTCTCTATTAAAAGCCCTCTCTGCCCCAAATGAGAATGTTAGCTTCAGCGTTCATGTATACCAAGTGTCAGCACAGCTAAGCAATGTTCAAGACCACATGAACCTCAGGAAGTCACAAAATCCTGTTTTTAAAACCACATCTTTAACATAGAGGACCAAAACAGGCTTTTTTTCCCCTCACATTGGCCTCTTAACTGTCTGGCCCGGCTTCCTCTAAGTCTTCTTCAGGCAGTATTCCCTGGAAACAGATGTAGTGAGAGTTGCAGTAGACTGGGCTATTGTTGGGGCAGGACTGGACCTGCTCGGGTTTCTGTGAGGTGAATGGGTTGGGTCCACTGTCCCTGATGTGTATGTCCAACTCCAACAGAATCTGGAGTGAGCACTTGAGCTCGTTCTCACTGTGGAGACAAAGAGATAGCTAAGGAATCAATTAATCAGGTAAGATTAGTTTTATCATTATGAGAGACTGAGGAGAGATAAAACACCTCATAGACTAATGTTAATCCACCCACATGAAAAGAGTTTGAGAGAAATTATGGAGGAACAGCAACAATATGAAGTGAAAGAGAACAACATCAATAACTTTTCTATATCATCAAGTTAGAGTCTACAGGGGGAGTTTGTTGAGAGCGCCTGCAGCAGAGGAAATAAATCTTTTCTTCAACTTGGCTTTTGTACAAACGAGAAACTGGTATTTGTCACCAGAGGGAAGAAGCGTGAAGTGTGGAAGGAGTGGTGTGATCTGGGTCGCGGGCAACGATAACTGTGTTGAGACTGAGAACTGTGGTGATGAGGTCAGGTAGGAAGAGTCGGGAGACCAAACATGATATGTGGGTGAGCAACGATTGTGCCATAGAGGAGGGCAGAGTTTGATATAGAATAAAACAGAGGGAGGAGGAGGAGGTGCAGTAAGTCTCAATAGTCATCTGGAGTTGAGGTTTGAATAGCAGATGGTATACATTGTGAGTTAATGAGTCCTCCCGGCACAAAGAACTTAAAATATTAACTATTGCTGGAACAGCAAGAAATTAGTTATTCCCATAATAAATGTGAAACAGGTGTATGTATCATACAATAATGTGACTAACCTGTACATAGTGAAGAGTGAAGGGATGTTATAATCTCTGAGCAGCAGAAGGGTGGGCAGCCAGCCTTCTATCAGACCCTGGTTAGCATGGAACCCTGTGATAAAAAAGACATATAAACACATGTGTAAGAGATATGTAATAAAGCCTTCAAACAAAATCAGTGTGAATGTGTCTGAGAAGCTGTGCAACCAGTGTGTTAATATCATTATAAAATGACCACTATCAGGTTTGTTTAAAACACATGAAAACTTAAAATATCATAATAATCAATAATAATCCAAATATTTCTCTGTACACATTTTCCTGACTAAAACCCAAAGTACTGGACAAATGTAATTTTTTTTGACCTGCTGATGGCACCAGAAGAAAAGTCAGGAGTGTGAGGGGATCACCAAAGTCATTGGGATATACATTATTGTCTGGGTTCCATATCTATTTTGTCCAATACATCTAATCGTTCTTGAGTTTGGACAAAAGTGGAGGACCAACCAACCGCGTGACTGACACACAGTCCATCCGACCAACAGACAAACATTTTCACTCTAATGGCTAAGAGCCATCTTTAGCCATTATTCATTAAGAGTTTAATTTTGGAAATCTCAGCTAATCTGCTTCATCAGGACTGTGTGGGTGTGGCTTAAATGTTGTTAGATCCTGATTGGTGCACTGAAGTAGGTGACATCAAAGTTTATTCACCTGAGCACTGCCCACTTCAACCCAGTGGAAAGAGCACAAAGAAAACCAGAAATACTTAATGGGAAGTCTCCAAAATTGTTTTCACTTTGGCAAAAAAAATGTGGCTTAATGTAGGATCCAATCAATTACAGTAATGAACTGATTTTCAGGGCCTTTAACTCAAACTTCTTGCAACATACGTACATCCCTGAATAAGTCAGCTGAATGACACTGGTACTGGAAAGCTCTTATTGAGCTGTCTGTTTCTCGCCATACAAGTCTGTACAGAGTGACAGAGGAAAAAGACAGGTCTTTTCCCCTGTGAGGTGAAATCGAACAGATTACGCTTGATTAGTCTCAAGCCGCCCATGTCTTTCTCTTGTAAACTAGAATATATTTCTTTCTGGACGTGTCACTGACAGTGTTTTGCAGTCAACCTAATTATCAGTCAATAAAACAAAGTTAATCTTGCTCCACACAAGCTGACCTCATTTAGAAACTTCAGCCGGACTGGAAAAAGCTTGCTCTAACCTAACTTACACCGCGCCAGCTGAAAATTTGTGACATTACAGTGCAGAAGTCTGGCTATATCTACGAAGGGGTTGGGTGCATAATCCTGCAGCATGCTAACTGACAGATGTCACTTTCACCCCTGACTCTGGTTTATAGGAGTAGTCCCTTTTTCTGAGCAGCAGTGTGGAGTGATGAATAGCTCGACCTTCAACCAGATGACTGAGGTTCAAGCCACCATGGCAGCAAATACTGTAAATCCAACCAGCTTAAGTGTCCTTGAGTGAGCCAAAACCGGGGGAGCAGCAAACAGTGAATTCCCTGCTCAATCTCACATTATTAGTTTGTCCGAGAGAACGATGGAATCACAAATTCAATTTGAAAAACTATGCATGTGAGAAATATGAAAGTAAGCCAGGAATTTATTAAAGCTTCAGCTGTTTAGTATATACTGGTGTGTACACTGATTGTAAGGGTGTTGTGTGGTGGGCACAGAGGCACAGTATTGTAAAGGCTTGTGATATTGGCACACAGATGGTATTATGTTATATATCGCCTGCCACATCTTTCCAGGAAAACTCCAACTGCAGAAAGAGGATTTTAATTTGAATAATGCATGCCATGATACTGACATCCCCGAGGTTACACTTCTCATCATGATGAAACATTTAACAGGCAGTAAGCGTTTAGGCGTTTAGACCTTCAGGGGATAAGGTGACAAAGAGATGTTACAGTCGGACTGTTAATGACCTCAATAATTGCCTGGCTCCAATGAGAATTTTGGCCATATGGTGGATAAAGTTGCTGTTAATGGTAATAGACTTATTTTGTCTCCTGAAAAAAATATATGCTAAAATCCAGTTTATTTCATGGACAACAAAAAACTATCTGGATGTTCTGTTTGTGTTTATGAGGCCCCCTGTTTTCAGTGGTCTGTCTTTGTATGGAAGGCACTTCTTTAGCCCACATCCATTTCCTTTGTGAGAGTTGACAGCTGACATCACCCTCCGTCTCCTTCTCTAAGGTCAGTGTCAGTTTTCACTGCTTTCTCGCAGCATTTTCCTCTCTCGTTCCCTTTGTGACTTTCACACACACATACACCTTCCTTTTTATTCCTTTCGTCATGCTGCCTTGCTCCTCTATCACTTAAACAGTGTCATAATGCAGTGCTCTGCCAGCTTTGCAGTATGAAACGCAGCCAGGCACTCAGACAGTTTACTCGCAGGATGACTGATTCCTGTATATTTAGCTCCAGTGGAGCCTGCAGCGATAACTGAGCCATGGGTTATGGATGCGGTTGGGTCAGAGCTTTACTGCTACTTTGCAGGTTAAAGGGTCACAGAACTGATTCTGATTCAGTGGAAGAGCTTAGGAGGTGTGGGGTTATAGTGCCACTTTAATGAGGTGGTGTCTGTCTGAGTGGACAAAAGGGCAGACAGTAGATATCGACACTTTCAGTCTAGCATTCTATTTGTCACAAGGTGGAAAAATACTTTTTTATTAGGTGGAGACTAGGATGGTGAGATTGTTTTAAATCAATGATTTTGCACATGAACAGCAATGTTCATCAGAGTGAAACTGGGGAAACTGAGACTCCTCTTCTTTCAAAAGGGCAGCTTACTGACATTATGCTGAGTCCAGCAATCACAAGCCAAACTCTTTCCCAGCTGCTCCCGTTAATCACCCAAATCCCCAATAAAAGCTCAGCGCTAATGAATAGGCCAGATCTAGTGAGTTACACGTCTCCTGCTTGCTCTGTTCTGAGGTTATTGTCAAATGAGCATAAAGGGAGACGAGTCACTGGTTCTCTAAGACAGCTGACCACTTAAGCTGAGCAGTTTCTATGTATAGCCACAGTGATCATTATGTTCTTTACTGGTTGATTTAAAGGCATTTTGAGGTGAAAGTCTCCTTTCAGCCAGACTTATCTCGAGATTTTAGTGGTTGAGCAATCACATCTGTTACTTTTTGTTTTTTCGTGTTTGGCAGGATGATGAATGTACATACCAGGATGAAATCCAACCACCAAATCTGGCTTAGCTCCTTCCTCTTTCTCCACCACATCCTCCCAGAACTGGTGGTAGAGGCCCTTGTGGGCACTGATGTAGACCCTCTGCTTGGGGCCAAACGCCTTGAGAGGAGGCCTCATGATGGGGCCGTCCACCACCTCTGGACCCACCATGACTATCTCGATACCCTGGTGTTCAGGGAACATGTTGTTCAGCTCATCGTAGTCAGTCAATCTGGCCCCCATGGTCTCATTGTAGGATGTCCCCGCTAAGTGAATGGTGAGAGGCTTAGCGTACGGGTCAAGGCGAAAACGTTGCACGGCCTGCCCAACTGTGAGAACTCGAGAGAGGAACTCGCTCTGAATCCGCCATAAAGACTGTTTCAGTTCAGAGTCATCCGGCCTTGGCCTGCTGACATTCTTCCAAAGGGTTGCCATGTAGGCACCCGACAGTATGGCGTCCAGACGTGACGCGAGTTCCTCCTGCATGGGAAGCCAGTCTTCCCAGTGCTTCACCTCAGCAGCTGACTTGGACCACTTCTCAGTGGGGAATGGGAGGTCTCCTGTGGGGGTGGTAGAACATTTATGATGGATTTATGAACACAATACAAAACTGAGGAGACAGAGAAGTGTTGATTCTGCCTGGCAAGTTTACATGGTGTTTGAAAAGCAATCAGAGAGAATCGAAGACTGAGGAACTTTAATCAGAATTTCATAAGTGCACCAGTACTACACTGTGACTTTCTGTCAGTTTTTGTCTCTCAGGCATTTAATTTCTGCAGCTCAGCTCTAAAATATGCCATCTCATTAATGTGATTTCTCTGTTTTGTGAACTCAAACAGCTATTAAGGCATTTTAATTTCAGCTGCACCGCCTTTTCATTTCTCACCAGTGAACATCAGCCACTCCACTAGTCTGTCAATGGCCACCAGATGCAGCATCTTGCAGAACTTTTTATGCTGAGGCCAGTCTTTTTTCTGACATTCCTTGGTGCAGTAGTACACGTTCAAGCACCTGTGACGTAAAGGGGGGGAGGGGAGAGAGAAATTAAATGGAAAGAAACTATGCAAGGCATAGAAATTAAACAAGTTAAACAAAAAGGAGCATTTTAACTGACAAGGTTGTATACTCTCCACTTTATATCATCAAACTGTTTTGCACCACCATGCTCCAGACTTAACTATCCTGACAACTAGTGCAAGGGATTGTAGGGAAGAGTACTACATAGATTCGAGGTCCCCAGAGGATGATTTCTAATGACTTTGGTGATCCTCTAACCTTTTTAACTATCTATCATCAGATCAAATTTGTGTTTGCCCATTTTAATGACCAAATAACCAGAGAACTAATGACATTCCCATCAGGTTCAACTGTGCTTTGGGTTGAGTGCTAATCTACACATGTTAACATAACACACTAAACTAATATACTGAATATGGGAAACACTATACCTGCTAAAGATCAACATGTTGGCATCGTCAGCGTGAGAATGATGGCTGTAGATATCATACATCCATGCTGGGAATGTTTGCATGTTAATGTTAGCATTAGCTCAAAGCGATGCTATGCCTAAGTCATCAGTGATGGACTGTGATTAAATAATGCTTAACTCTTCAGGTGTTTGATGCAATCCAAAGCACTGCTATCAATTACTGAATCAGCTGTGGGCCATGAGAAAATCATTTATGGGTGCATCATTTGTAACATATATCAGGGTAGCATCTTTATTATTAGACGATCAGCTAGGGTGTCTTGTGCCAGGACATAAATAGCATCTTACATCCACATAGAAATTGTAATTCAGCGGCTAACTCATGACACTGACAATAAATTCTGTCCTGTTTTAGACAACAGCTAATAGCTGCATTAGGTAGACGCTGGAATTTATTAGCGAATATATAACCTTTTTGGGCTTTTATGTTGTGGCACACAGTTAAGGTGGTGACTGGTGAGGTAATGTGCTAGATTAGAGGTCTGAGAGCCTGTGCCAGTTGGTGTGCCTTGGGAGACTATATTATTTTACCTTGCAAACATTTGCAGCCTTAGAGGCACCCACATTTCCATAAAATCATTTATCAGCCAACATGTTCTGTAATAGAACACTTTGGGTGTACTAATCCTCCAAATGAGGCTTACAGGTGGACAAAGTGAGAAAAAACAGGTGCCCATTGAAAGGTAAAATATAAAACACTTCTGCAGAGACATCTCAGCCTTAAGAGCAATAAAAAAATAATATGAATCAGAATTAGAATGGGAAAGATGAATGGGAGTCCTAGGCAGGTTGGAGTATTTGTGGCGATTCTCAGATGACAAAGTTCTTTAGGGTTTTAAAGTTCTTTAGGGTTTTACTTGTCAGCAGTCCAAATGTCTGCTGATGGTACATTTTCTGAGAGTGGCAGTGGCAGCTGAGAATTTCAAAGGACCGCACATACAAGACAGTGTGTGTGTGTAAGTGTGTGTGTATCAGAAAGATAGAAAGAGAGCAACAGAGGAAGCAGGGAGCCGGAAGAAAAATGAAGCACAAAAACAATGAGGCACTTGTGAATATGCAGGATGCTGTATTCATTATTCTCAATAGGCTCCTTGAAATACACTCTGTGATGTTGGGACATTATAAAACTGCATTAAGCTGTTCTTAATAAGCTGCCAAGTTGCAGAGAAATGAATCACAGTCAGGGGACGTTGCTATATTTGCCACTGGCCATTGTCCACCTCTGTAGAGCTGTCCACACCTTGGTGGCCTATCATTCTGCCGCTGATACACCGACAACTGGAAATGCTTCACACATAACAGCTATTGGACAACAATATCAGCGCCCTGACCGGGTGATAATAGAGCCGACGGTGTGGGTTTCAGTAGCCTTAAAAATATTCAGATTGTCAACAGTGATTAATGTTAATCAGAGTTAATATTGCAATAATAATATTGCAAAATCATGCATCACGGATCACACATCAACACATCTCTGCAGTCATTCTCGAGCGTCACCATTCAGTTGTGGCTTTGCACTCACTTCACACAGCGCTTCAGGGTCTGTCCCTCGGTGAGATGCTCTGGGAGTTTGCTGCAGCCGGTGCAGAACTTGAAGGTCTCCTCCATCTTCTGGAACAACTCCTTATAGTTGCGGAATGAGATTCCTTTCGTCTTTCCCTCAACAGCAGCCCTTATAGACACATTTGGCAAGCACAACACGTGAGGAAGTTTCGAAAGCATGGGATATATGAAGCCATAAGGTGCAACTATATGAAAATGTAGCCAATCAACATATATTCCATATAAACTAATAAAAGTCTTGATGTTCAGAAGAGTAACATCCAACAGTTTTTACCTGTATTCACTGTAGTCCTTCATGTTGAGCTTGTTGAGAATCACCTTAGAGAGCCCAGGAACACTGGAGTCCAGAGCGTAAAAGCCTGCCTGGTCAGAAAAGACGCTGCCAGTCCCTGGAGCATAGGACTGTGGGAGCGCTGGGATCTGGGATGCCATGTTGTGGTCTTCAATTACCACTATAGGAGAGGAATAAACAATTATTTATTCAAGTTTCATTAGACTGTACTGAACATCTATCACTTACTGTTTGGTTCATTGAAAATGATGGACAACCAGTTAAAGAGTAAGGAGTCAGAGTTTTTGCTTACTCCTGTCTTTGAACCTCTCACCTTGCTGCAGTGATGAACAGCTGTACTCCAGGACACTGTTACCAGTGTAACAAAGCAAACTTCAGACAAACACCGTAGTGCATGTGCGCTTGTGACTGTGATTTTAACATGGCACTTTCTGAAGACTGACTAATTTCTGTAGTTAGCCTCAAAGGGCCGCTTGAGGAATTGCATTTTTTGTTACTTTCGTGTTGGCTTCATTTTATAGCCACCGAGGTGCCGCTTGGCCGCTTTCTTTGTAAATTACTTTGTAACCCAAGCACCATGTTTGTACAGTTTACCTCATGATCATCACAGTGAAAAATAAAAGTATTGTTGTTGTGTGTCACAGAGGTTTATAAAATGCTATGCAGTTTTTTCGTGTCTGATAAGCTGGGGTGTGCCCAGGGCAGTCCTTTGTGGCACCCCATTATCAGTCTAAATTGACCCAGTAAGAAGTAGGACATTAGTTTGATCATATGAATGTGCATTGTTTTCTATTGTATGTAAATAAATAAACATTTTGCTCACTACCGTTTCCAATGTCTACTTATTTAGTTAAGTTATTTTTTAGGGTAGAGAGAGGGGGGATGACACGCAGCAAAGGGCCACAGGTCAGATTTGAACCCTGGGCCGCCGTAGCAAGGACTCAGCCTTAGTACATGGGTCACCAGCTCTATCAACAAAGCTAACCGGGTGCCCATTTTTTCTACTTATTTAAGTAAGTCCTGCAGTGTGTGAGCAGTTTCCCTTTTCTGTATTTGCTTACTTTTGTCTTTCAGCACCTGCACTCTTCATGGATGTGCATGCATACTCCTATTACTTTTGTACATAGCCTATATTTGGAGCTACGATTTCTTTTTGAGAACTTAAATCATAAAGTATAGAAACCTTCCATTGTATTTGTATGGTGCCACTATGTTGTGATTGGTGGCATTATTTATCTTTCAAATAAAACTTTTAAACTCTGGAATGTAGGAAACAGTAAGACACTGTAATGTTAGCATTTAAGTAAATATGCAAAATGGCAAATTAATGCTATTCTGACGTGTGTGTGCATGTGTGTGTGTGTGCGCGCACACACGCACTTCATGCCACGCCTGCATAAGTCAGTGCCACACTTGTGCCACCCCAGTCAATAAAATGTGGACCCGCCCCTCCTGATAATCCTTTAAACTCTTGGATCCGTCACTTAAACTGCAATCTGGATCATATTTCATTGTCTCACTGGTACCTGAAACAATGCACCCCCCATCAATGTACCCCCCCTTTGACATTTTAAAACATCACATCCATTAGTTTATCTGGGTGTGCTGGGTGCTCTCTGACAGGTTCAAAGCAGAGTGTAAGGGACAGGGACCCCCTCCCACCACCACCACCATGTCAGACTGAAAAATGAGAAGAAGCAGGGCTAGAAATGCGGACTCTGGTGGAAGGACATACAGTCACAAGCCACACAGAAGTATTTGTAATAAACACCCTGACGGCCAAGTAACACCACAAAGATTTTCACTGCTGTTAGAAAACTCCAGACAGGGTGTATCACTGCTGCCCAGACCCACAAAAGCTATTTTGGAACCAATGATAACATTTTAAAGGTATACACAAATACACAAAGTAAGCTTCTCCAGATTTCAGATCTGACTTTGTCAAGGATATGAGATTTTCACCAAGCAACGGCGGCACCAGCTGTACAAAAACCAAACCGACAATCAGTCGGACTACAGACTACAGACAGTAGTTATTCTGAATTGTGTTAATCTCGAGGCAGACGTTGGTATCTTTTCTCAACATAGATACAATAGTGTGAAGTTGACACACTGTATAGGCCAAAGACCAGGATTTCCCTTGTGCTTTAAAATACCCCCTCTGTCATACACATACACTCTGGCTAAACACCATGTGGGGAGACATTTAGTTGATTTATTTAGTCGGCCTGACATGGGGGGGGGGCTAAGAAGGGAGAGAAATGTGATCATCTGGTGGTGGCAGTCACCAGGAGCTCACATGCCTCCTTCAGTCTTTCTTTACATTTAGCTGGAAACCGAAATCCAGAAATTAGTTCTTTTTAAAATCATGTATGTCTAAAAGTATGCTACATTTATCTACTTATGAGATAAAAAAAAGACTTTATTGATCCCACACTGTGGAAATTCACTTGTTACAGCAGCTCCAGATATAACACAGCAGATAAGAAAAAAAAAGAAATACACATTAAATAACAAAATAAAATACAAAAATACAAGATATCAAAAAAAAAAAAAAAAATAGAATATGTATGTTCAAACTATATACAGTATTTGTATACAGGGTGATATTAGTTAAAATATAATATTGCACAGGTCACAGAAGGAGGTAGCGGCATATTGTAGAAATAAATAATTGCACTGGAGAAAAAAATATATTATACAACAATGATTTAACAGGGCTATGAATATATTAACTATTTCCTGTTTTTTGTTTTCCTATTTATTGTGATAAACATAACTACCTGTCTCTGAAGTACAGCAGTACTTAACCTTCCCTTGAAATTTTCAGTGCAGCTTGCAGCAATGAAACTCTATTCTCAATTAAATGTCACAATAAATGCCTTTTATTTATCACACAGAGAATCTTTTGTACTCACAATGCTGTTCATTCCAGTTGGACATGAAAGAAACGTTTCCTCTACGTTGAGGAACTCTATCTTTTCAATTTCATACCAAGTGTTGCTGGGAAATGATTTAGCCTTATCATGTCTGCAGACAAAATTGAAAGGCCTATATCTAATTAGTTCCTTCATATCTACAGTGCACCAGGGAAGCATGGGGTTGGAAATGAACAGATTTCCCATGAGAGGACAGGTCTTTTGCTTTTCTCTCCTCACATATCTGACCGTGACAATGTTAAGTTTTTAGCATGCAAAGTCCTCCCACTGACTATCTGGCTACAGCATTATCACATTTTCACCTTGCCGTGCAATTGCACTCCGTACTAAGAAGAAGATGACTATGTCACAGCGCCAAGACATGGAAAGATATTTGAGCAGTCATACCTTTGGTTACAGATGAGCTGAGAGCCCTTTGTTCTTGGTTCCCGGTACAGAAGAAAAAGATTGACAGCTCCTTATGTTATCAACACGTTATGGAGCCTCTGCTGGGGTCAAAAAAAAAACAGCCACAGGGGTTAGGGTGGGGGGCTAATGGGTGGGAGAGGGAGTTGTTGGATGAGTTGGGGAGGCGGTTTGCCTTGGAGGAAGATGAGGGGCTGAAGAAGAGAGGACAGAAGTACATTTTTAGAAAAAGAAGGGTGCGGTAGAGTGGAGAGAGAGAGTGAAGAGAGAGATGGGGGGGTCTGGGAGAAGAGGTGGGGACTCAGATAGAGAGTGGACACATGCACACAAACACTACAGTATGATACAAGAGAGAAATATTCTGCAAAAACACACTCAGCCTGCTGGAGAGAGGGAGTTCAGAGATGATAAGAGGGACTTCACAGAGGAGGAAATGAAGAGCAAAGAAGAATCAATGATAACAAACACATCAGAAAGTGGATTTCTGGAATCAATAACAGAGCAGTAAACAAGTGTATGTGTAAGTGAAAAATAAGTTTGATGTATAAATGTGTTATCCTTTATTGTAGTTTTTCCACTTGCAACTTAAGTGTTGACTTTCACTTATTATTCATCAAGTATAAATAATTCTGAACTCATTTCTGCTCCGACGGTTCATTATTCTGTGTGCTTTGAAGGTTTTTTCCAATCCCAAACTGAGACAGCCCTCTTTGTTACTGTTTAAGAAATGGACATTCGTATGTGTTGTAATTATGACAAATATTCCATTTTAATTTAAAAAAATTTATTTGGTCCATCTGAACCTGAGATTGAAAATTAAACATACATGTTTGTACACATATACTCATATCCCACCCCCAAGAAAAGATCAATAAAATATATATCACATTCATCAGAGTTCCATTTTTTTCAGCACTAAGTTTCATTTTTTGTTTCTACTATCATACTTTCATTTTTTTTTTTACAAGTTTAAAAGGGTCAGTTCATTTTTTTGTTTTATATATATTTTCTGTGGCTTAAGTTCGCAGTCTGTACAATTTACAAGGAAAGGAACCAGACAAAGGAGAAGAGAGAAAAAGCGTTGTGTTGGTCTGTGAATGACCAGCTTTTCTCTGGCTGCAGCCTCTTCGACAGCAGGGGGCGCCCACGACGCACAGAAGAGTCACCACCACAACTTCACAGAAAAGGAGCAGGTTCATAGGACACCAGCAAAGAGCCAAAATGACAATTATGACAAAAAAAACCGAAAAAACATAGTAACAAAAACCAATCTTATGTAAATGTAAAGTGATCCAGCAGTGACACTGAATTTAGAGGTGCCTTGTCATTGCAGGTGTTTCAGTGCAGGTTCATTTCTCGTCAAGCTAATCACTCTGGGCTTAAACTAAAGTCGTAAATTATCACATTCCTTTATCCGTCATTCATCAGTTCAGTATTCAACAATATTCATTAGACAAAAGGCCTGCAAATCACTTATACAAATAAATTAGACACTAAGTTCACAGCTTCTTGGCTGCGACCACGCACACACTCACGCAGGGTCAGACAGACATCTGAAAGTGGTCATTATTTTTCTTTGGAAAACATATTTACAGTTACTTCAGCTCCAGGTTTCATCAAAGAAACATTACACTGCTGTAGTAGTTGTCTTACAAACTGTCCTGAAGATGTTGTGAAGTGCAGCCCACCAGCGCTGGTAGACGTGGTTGTGCAGAGTAAGTAAATGAGACCGCAAGCGTTCGGGACAAAGCTCATGAGAGGTTGCATGTTTCAGCACTCATTCAACTCAAGGTCGCTGAGCTGAAGCCCCGAACTGAATCGTCTCATGTTGGAACTTTAATGTTTAGACTCAATATGATCTTGACATAAAAATAAGCATTTACTCCATGGATTTTGCTTTCTTACTTTCAAGTTTTTCCCCATTTTACGATAATAGTTAGACATCAACTTTGACTTGGAAAAAAAAAAGTCTCCCACTCCATCCTGTTACTATAGTACCGCTTAAGTCGTTCCTCTCTCTGATAAAAAAACATGTTGCCATGGTGAGGACTAAAAGATCCTTAGTGAAACAGGAGTAATGGCTTTGACACGGAAGAAATTGGAAAGATCAAGCAGGCGGGGCCCTAACGTAGACAACCATCCTTTGAAACTAACTCAGCCCAAACTGTGAGGGAACTCGACTATTTTCTGTGTCACGACATGTCTCAGGGGTCCCCTTCGCTCCCTTGTTATGTGTGCACACAGTCTGACAAAATGGTAATTTGTTATTACACGAGGACACTGTGCTGTCGCTAATGTGCTGTCGGTGTATTCTTGCGGGAGGATGGCCCAGATGCTCGCGCTGCACCCAAGCAAACAAAAAATGGTCCCTGACCTCCCAAAGTAAACTCGGCAGCTCCTTTTAAGAGCTCCCCTATGGCAAACTGACTGTTCAAACAGCCACTAGCTCCTCTAGTACTCCCTCAGTACACCAAAGTGTAAATCAACACACTGGCAAACTGTTGAAGTGTGAGAAATAGACACATACTCACTGACCTTCAGTACCAAAATAAAAAATAAATAGATTAGTCACAAATATTGGAGTGTAACAAACCAAGCAGCATTAAATCACTCTATCTTACGTCCGGAGAGCGGAGTTGCTCCCCAAGTGTGGAATTTATGTGTAAAGATATAAACTGACTGCTGAACTGGATGAGAAAAGCCAACGTGCCTGAGGGGAAAACTACAAAGCTGGTCATGTAATGACTCGCCTCCAGCGTTTAGACCCCAAACTAAAGCTGAGTAAAAGAAAGGAGGTACAGCGGTTGTTTCTCTGTAGGGAAAAAGCGAAAACTCTATGTTAGTCTATTGAAGCACGAGGGTGGGAATTCTATTAGGTGTCAGCATTTCACAAGGTACATCCTGCCATTACAACACTGCTCTCTACACCACAGTTTGGCTGGTAAGTGTGTTGAGGGACAAACAACAGAAAGATGCAATTCCAGGGCACCGCACACCTGCCACACACATCAGCTTGAGGTTTTGCTTGACTCCAGCTTACTGTACAAATCATGGGTTTGGTCCTGAGCTAGAGAGAGCGCTAGACAGCACTGCGGCAATGATGGAGAGTGGGGGACAGACAGTACTGTATGAATGATGGCTTTTTCTACAACCTCAAAAACACAAATATGGACAAGACAGCAACAGGTCGCGTATAAAATGAGTAAGACTGACATGTGTATTCTCAAATAAAAAAAACAAACATGTATGACTATGAGTAAAACTAGAAGCTGGGTTTGGCTCATGAGGTACCGTACTGACCCCTTCCCCCCCGCCCCCTCTGAAGTCTCATGCGTTGTTATCTGTCCTCATGGATGACACAGGGGTTGTCTCGCTGTGGGTGATTGGCTCATAGGTTGTGGGACGACAAATGGCTCAGTAGTTACGACACTCCACCCTGTCTTCTGTGACGCTCGGCGAAAGCAGGGTGGGGGTGACGTCTGTTCCACGTTCAGCGTTTGTACCAAAAAAACGTCCATTATTTTTTAAGTAGTCTGGAACTGGAATCTTTTAGGTGCCTGGGTGAAAAAATTGTTTTGCGAGTAAGTCACGGTCACTCCATGTGGCCCGGTTCCCTCATTTCATCCTGACATGGCACATCCACTTGGCAAGGGGGAGAGCACTAGCTGAATAAAGACTTTAGTGTTAATGGAGCATTAGGAGAACAGCACATAAACGCTGGCCATTTATGCTTTACATTCAGGTGTGTGTTCATCCAAAAAAAAAAAAAAAAAAAAAAGAAACACACAAATACGCACCACCCGCCCCTCCCTTGCCTGGTTTTCCAGTGGACTGACAGTACATTGGATTATAATCGGTGTGTGTGTGTGTGTGTGAGATAGTGGGCGGTGGTCATAGTGGCCTGGGCCGGTGCAGGCCATCAATGTCCGGAGTGAGCTGGGGGCTGTGGGTGGCTTTTGTGGGGGTCCAGTCTCCCAGGGAGGCCTGGGCTGCTTTGCGGTGAGCCAGGCGGTGGGTGATGGAGAAGCCGGCGTTTCCTTCCAGCTGTGAAAGCACCACCAGTACCTGCCTGCAGGGGGAGACAGAGAGCATTGAAAAACACAGAGAGCAGCTGAGAGAGTATAAGTATTTTTGTGTTGTCTATTGTATATGGTGTAGTGAAGTTAAGGGAGTGTATGAAAATTATTGCGGTGAGATGGGGGACAGAATCTCTTTTTTCTAAAGAAGAAAGGTCCTCCTCAGCGTAATTAATATTTTCTCCCCTTATCTTCATTTACTTTGCTACCTTAATATCTAAAAATAATATATTATTATTATATTGCAAAACAACGAAATTGTGAAAATGCAGCCACTCAAAATTAGATTAAAGAGTTGCTAAATAAACGGTTATTAAAGTTATTTAAAGAGTGAACAGGTGACAGGTCTGTGGCAGCTGATGGACCTATGATTTTGCTACTCTGGATTTCAATTAATCAAAATAAATATGAATCAGTTTAGATCTTTTTTCTATTAAAATCAAACACAACTTGTTTAAATAAACACAAGGGAAACACAATGGAAGACTGAAATCAACTATAAATCCGGGATGAGAAAAAGGAAAAAGGTAAAAGACCCTTGCCTTAAAAAATATTTTTCTGTATTTTCATACAGTCCTTAAGTATGCCGCTGATCTTGGAAGTGTTGATCAGTTAGTCAGCAAAGTTAAAGCTAGAATTTGAGGAAGACAAGCTGATTAATCAGCACTCTAGGGTAGTTTGTTTTTCTGATTCAGCCTATTTTGAGAACAAGATGAGGAAATATTAATGAGTGAAATATTAGTGTAATTCACACTTCCATCTTCTAAAGGATATTTGAGTACACTCCAGTGAGAATTACATCTTGTCCTTAATATAATTACCTAGCTGCTAAAAGCTTTTTATCTACAAACTGATTGTATAACACCAAATGAGAAAGAACATCAGAAAATAACACTGTGATACTGCAGCAGTGAGTGTTCTGTCAAGGGACATAATGTTGTTGTTAGATGAGAAAAAATGACATTAAAAGACATGGCCCTCATGCATGGTGACTTTTTACAGTTTCCCATTATGCGGGTCACATAACTCTGAGGAGATGAGATTGTAAATTTACAGTAATGTGTGCTGTAATTTGTCTGTACAACTGAAACATTCATACAGTAGATATCCAAAGAGAACCTAGAACCTAAATTCAGAGAAACCTAATGATGTGTGAGAAGCCCCACTGTGCTGGCTTTCACAGGTGTGTCTCAGCCTACAGTATCTTTCAGGTCTTTAAAGCATTGGCTGTAATGGGCATGGAAGAATGTGGACCAACAGAACACAAAGGCAGCTATAATTGTGCTGAGACAAAAGTACATTATTAAGAAATATAGAGCACTAATCCTCTGGGATCACTGCGTTTATATAAGGGTACAGATATAATCGTCTAAATGGGCAGATGTTTGTTGCACCTGTACCAAATGTTCCCAACACATTTAATCTTGTCTCTTGTTATGTATTCAGGTTATTTCTTCCAAGGTAAAATATAGCTTGATAAAAAACGAAAAAAGCCTTCCAGAGCTGTGTGTGTGTGTGTGTGTGTGTGTGTGTGTGTGTGTGTGTGTGTGTGTGTGTGTGTGTGTGTGTGTGAGGAAGAGAGAGGGGAATATGAGGTGTATGTGTGTACCTGTGCAAAGGTGGTACGCTGTCAATGGTCTTGAGGCTGCCGCGTGTGGACACCACATTGAAGCTGTCAGTGCAGTCACAGGAGACGTGGAGGTAGTATTTGGGGTGGCGGTTCTCCACCACCACGATGAGCCCTGCCCAGCCGTGAGTCAGGTAGTAGCACGTCATGCCCTCGCGGCCCTGAGAACACACACACACAGACACAGACACAGACACAGACACACACAGACACACACAGACACAGACACAGACACACACACACACACAATCAAATACAGATATTTAAGCAGAAAAAGGTACATTTGAACACTCGTGTGAGTTTAAGTCCTACAGACAAATCCAAGACACTTTATTTTATAAAGCTGATTATGGCTAAAGAGTGAGTCATCTCGCTTCCTTCTCATCTTTGTTAAGAGTTGCTCATGCTCAGTAGCAATCTGGCACTCGTGAGAAAATGGTGGCGGGTAAACACAAAGTTTTAAGCTGAAGCACATGCAATCATTTCAGTTATGCTGTAAACGGAGTTGGCGGCCAGTTGAGCGCAAGCCGTCACACATTCCCTGAGCTTACAGACTCATTCAACAGAGCTTGAGAAACACCATTTTTGATGAAAATTCACACATTACAAATTGAATACAGGTGCGAGTGGAGTGGGCAAGGAGTCCCGTTACTGAAAACTGGTTGTGGTATAGAAGGATCCAGTGCTCAGTGATTTTGTACGCAGATTAAATTAGTGCTACATGTGTATATGGATCATACAGTGTTAGAAACATGACGTATGATTTTGCTGCTCTCCCTCCAATTTGTATTCTTTATATTCCAAACATCCCTTATATATCCAGTGCTGGACAGTGTAGAGAGTGATATTTCTTCTGAAAGCATAACAAGGGCTACAGAAGTTTTGTCCCTAATAAAACATAATGCACGGTATTCTGGTCTATTGAGGCTACTATCTTCAGAGAGACTGGTTTCTGGCAGTATGACCGGTATGAGAAGTCTTTGATGTCCCGCCTCCAAAAACTGACACTGGTGTTTCAGATGGCTTAAAGATATTCGGCTATCTAACTTGCAATGAAGCTACATTGAAAAGGCACATCACCACCAGCAGTGTTTTTTAAATTGTTGCTTTCAACATGGCAAAACTCCCTCTGAAGGTAAGATGACTTTCAGTTCTGATACAGTGGTTTCTGATCTCTCTTCTGGGGACTGGCATTGTAATAAAGTGAATACAAGTGCAGCTAAACTGCTTCAGCTGCTGTCATTTCACATCCAGTGGCCCAGTTAACAGCATCCAGTAATCCCACTGCACCCTCCTATTTTTTTTAACCACATTGTTAAGACACTAGCATTCGTGTGGTGGCAGTCATGCACTCCCAAGTGCCTGGCCCATCTACCTTGAGCGGTGAATTCCTACGTAGCTGAATATCTTTACGAAGATGATCTCAAGTGTTTAAAAAGCTCTGTCATCCTCTAAAATACCAGCCAGTGTGACAGCATTTTCAGGAAAGCACAGTTCAGGAGAGCCAGAATAATTTGTTTCCATCGGTGTGAGCGGCTGTGTCTGTGTGTGTATGGGAGATAATGTGCATGTACTTGCATGTGTAAAGGCAGAACGGGATTCAGGACTGCTGAGGAAATCTAAAGTGTTATCTCAAAGTGGCTTACAGAGTTGCAAATATTCTCCTGCTTCACAAGCATATAGATATATATTCTATTCAAAGATGCACAAACTGTGTGTGTTTGTGGGTACATGTGAGACAGGAAGACGGGAGGAAAGAGAAAGAAAGTGGAAGCTGTTCTCTCGTTCTGAAGTGTGTCTCTCACCTCGTGTCTTTCGCCTTTGTTTTCTGTGAGAAGGATGATGGCGTCGGCTAGTGTGGTGGCGGTTGCCTCCACCTGCTCCACCATCACCTGTCTGGAGCTGTAGATAGCGAGGATGTAGCCGGGGAAGTCCTGGCTGGGCCGTCGTGCTGCTCCGCTGGTGGGGCTTGAGACTGGGAAGAAGACGTGTATATTCTTCAGAATATGTTTATATTCTTCTACTTTACCTTTAAAGTCAACTTAATGTTCCTGTTAATGTCGAGTAAATACTCATAAGCAAAAACACAAAAGCGCTGCATGTGCCCATTGCGTCTGTACACCTACTGGGTGTGGGTGGACCTCCCGACCCACTGACATTCATCTGCCAGTGGTTAAAGGCGCAGCAGACGACGGCGTACTCCCCAGGCTCCAGCATCACATCACAGCCAACAAACTTCTTCACCGCTCGCTTGCTGTGGGCCAACAAGCGGCCCAGAGTCAGCTTGTTGCCGCTGCCGAAGGAGGCACGAAACACCATGATACACAGGTCCAGCAGGTGGCTGTCGGCTGTGTCTGAACGCCTGGAGAGGGAGAGGAGATGAATGGGGTTAGGCAAAAAAAAATGGGAGGGAGGAGGGGATGAAAAAAAAAAATGCTGAAGACTGTCCGATTTACCTGCTTCCCTCCTGGAAGAGAGCAAACTCTAATGCCGTCCTCTCGAGCACAGTGAGGGCCGTTACGGTGACCGGCCCGCTTGCTTTGCTGGGGAAGCAGCCCTGTAACCTCACTTCCTGCCAGTCTGAGTGGATCTTGCAGATGTCCACTGAGTCAAAGTACCTGTGGGAGGAGATGAATGAGAGGTCAAAGCCTTCTTTAGTATATATTCAATCATAGGGCATCATGTTTCCAGATGTGCACAAGGCAACATTCTTCAATTTGAAACCAACAGTTCGACCGCCTGGTCTCTCCCCTCCGTCATCAGCTAAGTCTATTTGCATGCATCACAAGCAACTCTTTAACATTAGCATAGCCTCTGAGAGTGCTGCTGTACAACACAGTTTACCTTGCTAACATATCAGACCTCCTCCTTCAAAGACGAAGGCCCCGAGAGACATTCTCTTCCTCACTTCCAGTCTGTTCTTCATTGTTTCATCACTTCCTAACCTCGCTTAGACAACTGTCTTACATCTTACTTTTGTCTTTTTGACAAAATCAGGATGAAGGGAGAGGAAGCTGGGTATGCTGAAATTTGACAGTAGGTTGAGACCACTAGAGATAAATATGTCCGCAGTCCTTGTTTTTAGTTCACTAATCTCTCTGAAATGTTATTAATAATCAACATCACTCTTATTTGTCCACTTGATGCAAGCAATCGAGTCAATATAAGGGCCTTGATAATTGTCTGACAAGCTGACCACTAACACAAGTTAAGGCAGACACAGGCTGCAGGTTTGTCATATAGTACAGAGCTGAGATTATTTGTCTGTCAGAGAAAACAATAAACAGTCAGAAGACAGATGGATTCTAGTCTAGGGCGAATACATTTTTCAGGTTTGAGTCGTTCAGGAGGACAGGCACATTGATCCTTCTGGACTTATTGCAACTCTTATTTTGTTAGACACGAGGGGCACGAATAACAGACCTGTACACAATCGCACTCCCAATTCATCTTTAAGTGAACCTACTAACCTGGTGGACTTTGTGACAACGTCCATTGATCACCTGGTTTGCTGACAGAATGAAAAGCGCTTTTCTAGGCAAGCGTGGTCCTGTCCATGACCTCACTATTTGTTTGTGTAAATTCAGATAATTTGCACAAAATAAAAACACTTAAACTTAGTGAAATGTTTTTGTTGAAAGGCACACAGATTAGATTTTGCTCCGAATTGATTTTAAGGCTGTAATTCAGTTTGGTTTTCATTCATTATGGTGCACTCAGGTAGGTTTTAGAAAACCACCGAGCAACAGTCCCCTATTATGTTTCAGATTCCGCTTAGTTTTGTTTTCAAACAAACTCTTACAGGCAACCATGTTTACTGCCCTCCACAAGGTCACAGATCAATGTTATTAAAAGGGGAAGGATGCGCAGGCATGCATAAAAACAAAAGAGGAACAGCTAGAAAAACAGTAGTCACTTGTTGTGTGTGACTGAATGACAAGATTAATCTAATATAGCAAAACACACTGAGAGCCATGAAAAGTCTAAGCCTCTGTCTGCAAAGTCTCCGGCAACCAAAGCAGTCACGATAAAACACAATTCAACAATACCACCGTGGTGTGGGAACCAGTATATTATGCATCTGTCAACAAACACAACCAATAACCGAAAATGCTGTCACTCAGTTTGGTGTCAGTACCAGATGGTCAGCAAACTCCACAAAGGCCAAAGATTACTAAGCTATCCAATACTTCTAGCACATTACATGCCTGTACCATGACACAATTAAAGAACTAGTTATTTCAGCTGTACTCAGCGAACAAAAGCAGTGTCAACTTTGGATGCTGCCATGCCTCTGGAAGGCCACTAGGGGGAAAGAAGGTGAAATGGGAATGAACAGTCTGAAAAAGTGAGTAAATTATAAGACTAATACAATAAGTATTCTGTAATGTCTTTGTGGTTGCATCTGTCTTGGTGAAAACAAGCACGTAGAGACAGATCAAACACACACAATAACCACAAAAAAGAAAAAAAATCATCTCTGTAATCGTGGTTCCTACTTTATAAAGTCTGTGTACTCCATCCAGAAGACGCCCTCACTGCTGCCGTGAGCCATCAGCTCGTGACGCAAGTGCTGTGGCCAGTCCGTCCACTCGTCTGACCAGCTGCCGTTCCACGAGAACCGTCCCCACGGGTTACGCAGCCGCAACAGCCTGAATCATAGCAAAGAGCGACAGGGAGGGAGGATGATGATTAACAGGAAAAGGAGAGCCAAATACAGGATCCAGTTTAAGTGTCAACAGTTTTCAGACAACGCTGAATCCCCATCTCTGCAAACTCATTTTGCTCCTCTTATTGATGATTGCCTGCTTTTTAACAACCCATTTCATTTTACTGCCTCCTCCCTACAGGGGAAGACTTAAGGGGTATAATGTAAAAACCATATTGGAGAGTCCCCACTTTTCAAAAAAAAAAAAGAGAAGAAAAAAAGGTGGGTAAATCAGTTTCCAAGCTGCTTTTCACCTCCTCTGGTTCCTAGCAGGAGGACTCCAACCCATTTTAGATCAAGCGCTGTGGCCCAATCTTCCACCCACGATTGCTTTACGGCAGTAAATTAAAGTGGCTGTGTGAGGCTCTTGAGCAAATTACATCTGGGATTTACGGCTACTACCAACTTCCTCTCGCAGGTAGGACAGAAGAAGCCTCCATTGTGTTGAGTTGCAATGCTATCGTGAAAGGTATACACCTGATCTCTATTGGCATCAAGCCTCTAACCCATCTACTTGTAAATCATTCAGGAAATGCCTTCACAAAGTATGCATCTGTTCAATCAATTCTAAACATGGGATCCGTTTTCATCAATATATATGATGTATAAAATGTAGCCTTGAATCTGAGGCAAGACTTGTTTATGAATATGCTTTTTTAATGAGTAAACAAACCTTTAAGACGTGGTTTCTTTCCAACCCCGTGCCAGTGAAACCTGCTGTATGAGTCATTGGTTTCTACTATGAAATCTACAACAGTCATGAATGAGAAATGTGGCTGAAGGAAAATGAGGAATAAAAGCAAACAATTTCAGCCATGAGACAACTTAGAAGAGGAAGAGTTGCGAAGCAGGGGGAGCAGCTGGTTCTGGAAGTGTTTGAATGATACCACATTTAGAAACAATAGGAGTTGGTTAGTTGAGGCAGATAAGTTAGAATCTGCCTGACTACAGGTATACGTGATTAAATAAATAATATATAAAAGGCAATAATACAATATAATAATACAGAGAAGCCATGATTAAAAATGGAAAAACACCTAAGACAACTAAACAGTTAGGAGAAAGATAAATAAAAAAAAAACACGGATTAAAACGCAGTAAGAGGACGTTAGGAATAAGTTAAGAGCAGCCTTTAAATTTGAGGCCTGAGTGAGGGATTGTGAGGAGCTGATGTTACCGTCAATGTTACTTAACATAGTGACACAGGACTCCAAGATAATGTTACAATCCTATAGGTTTATTTTATGGCCACCAGTTTTAATAAGCCTCTAAATATTACAAAACCCATTAGCCTCGGCTGTTGTTGCTATAGAGAAGACGCCAGTCAAAGGCACAAATCAGAGCTAGAACAAATTCAAAAAGATCCCATAGTGGCTGGATTTATCTAAAACCATCTTTGAATTGAAAAGTGAATTGATTTAAGCTGCAGATTAGGTTTAGGTTTCTCTTAACAGACTATTGTACTTGCTGTTACAAAGATAAAATAAATATAAGGAGGGAGAGAAAGATGTACAAAGAGAAATATCAAGTGATCAGAATGGGAAGAAACAAAGAAAAAGGAGTCTAGAAGAACTCATAGAACAATGAAAAGACAGGCAGGTAATGACTCTAGCTGACATTTCTTCTGTTGTCTTTGCGTACCTGTAACCCTGCACATCCCGTACGTCCAGGACGGAATAGGCATGCCGAGGCCGCAGACCCAGAGACTCATAGACAACGTCATCTACCTTCATGTTGCCTCCTCCACAAGATGCACCCATCAGAAATCTAACAAGGACAAAACACAGTGTAAGACATAGGATTCACTAAAATATCATTAGGAAACATAAAGTTACAATCACAAATAATGTCCTCAGATTTTCTGTAAAGAAAGATAACTAGAGGTCCGAACAAGCTATTTTAAAGTTTGGTGCTTCCTTTCTGATTTGCATAGCTAATTAAGTTAATTGTTTCTTTATTTATTTAATTCTTATTTAACCAGAAAAATTTAAATCTAAATAAAAGCAAACAACAAACATCAGTTATTTGTGTATACGTCTAATATGTTCCATGTGTTACTGCTCCTTTGCTGTCTATTGTTTGGTTTAGTAAGGGAATATGGTCATGATTTTTCAGGCCTTTCCCCTTAGATATAATGAATAATACCACAGGATTTCAGACAGATGGACTTGCATCTTGGCCACAGATAATTTTGGCCCTTTTGGAGAGCGGCTAGTTGTCTCATGTTGCTTTGAAAGCGCACATATCAAAGGGCTTATTACCAGACCTCTTTTATTACTGACATATGCTGCAAATTGGCATTCAGAACCTTTGCGGCTTTGTAACACCTTCGTGTTTGTAGTTGAGATTACAGAATGTTGATTCAGTGCTGTTATTTGCCAATGTTTACTATTCATTATTTTTCTATTCCCTGTACTGTACAAGAAAATACTAATGTAATGTATACGTATGCAAAAATTCTGTTATTTAACAGAACATAAATTAAGTGAAAAGCAAAACCAGCAAAGACAGTGTTCCCTCTGATGCAATTGCAACAAAATTCTCCTCCATTCCCTCTCTTACCCAGCCTCCTTGGAGCTGAGCATCTTGGCCCAGATGAGGTCTGTATCGATGGGTTCCTCCCGAGGGTTGGTGGAGCTGACTTGGAGCATCAGGGAGTCACACGGCGCCCCAGTCAGCGTGGCCAGGCCCTCAATGGCGCGCCCTGCCTGCAGGGCAAAGTAGGACCCATGGAGTTTGGCCAGGGCCTTCTCAATCAGCGCCACCCATAGCTGCTTCCTCTGGGCCTGGAATGATGGGAAACAGAAGTGGGAAATATTTAGTCATGTCTCAGTCACGAGTACAGCTCACTGACGGACGCACAGTTGTAGCAGGATGTTGTTTTGGACTGTGGGGCTTGTTTTAAGGCTGAACCTGTTGGCTGTGACTCAAAACTTTAAAGATTTCTGAACATGATAAAAAAGGTCAAATGTCTTATTTATTCTTTCTTATCTTATCACCACCATACACATCAATGTTCTTCCTTTTTTGTTTCCTACATGTTTATTTCACATGTGTCCCACTACTGTCCAAATTCTACTTTCAACTGCCTCAGACTTAAACAACCATTGCCCAAAATTGAAGTACATATTTTAATGCAACATAATACATTATAAGAGCTTTGTTTCACATCACTTCATTGACTCAATCTGGTCCAGCATGGAAGTTCTGCTAGCTGGTCCCTGCACTTCTATATGAATAAGAAATTGAAATCGCCCTAGGTGTTTGGCCATCAGTATGCATTATTCTTTCATTGGTTGAGTTACTGTTTCTTGTTTATTTCAAACGGTTTGATCAATAAATGCATCACTGCAAAACGCAGTGCAAATACAAAGCTGTTTCTGGTATATGGCGATGGAAATTTACATTCACACTTTGAACATCATTATCATTTAGCCAAATAATCACAATCTCACTGCAGGGACATTATACATTTAAAGTCAAAAAGTTGAAAAAAAGTCTACAAAAGAGAGGGAGAAGATAAAATGAACTATTTAAATATTTATAAGCTTACAAGCTCAGAGTAAACATTTACAAATAGGCTAAGCTATAGGAACCCCTAATCCAGAGATCCGAAGAGAAAGAGTGAGAGAAAAGGTCAAACGTTATTTCACACGCCACACATACTGTCTGTCAGCGCTTGGCGCAAGAGGAGGGATAGGAACCCTGCTGGCAGAAGAGCTGTGGACTGCGCTTATATCTCACCGCTGTGTATGGGAATTATTTGCAGTATAATATATCTGAATATATTTCTTGCCTTTCCCTGACGGTCTATATATACGTTGTTGCTAGTCAGTTGTTTAAGAGGGTCTGAAAAGTTGCAAAATCTAGTAAAAAAAATGAAAGTCAAGTTGGCAACACTGGCTTTCTATGATTGATTTTGTGTGTAATTTGTGTATTTTTATTGTACCCGGGACAATGGGACAGTCCGACATTCTGTCTTTTTTGAGAATATAAGGTTGGAGGTTAGATAAGGTTGATAGGGTATGACAGTACGTCCCTCCAGCATGAGTGAGTCTGGATTTGTTTGCCTGTGCTTTATTTGATGTATAATGCATTACTTAATTTGTCCTGTAATTGACTGTTGAATAATTTGACCTCGAGGTACAATCCTCCCCTGTGAGCTCCCTTGGGACATGCTTGTGGTAAAGAGCTAGATAATGAATGAACGTGAACTTATATTAAGAAGTTGATCTCACATTAATGTTAGGTTGCAACTCCATCAACGAGGTGAAGGTGACTACTCTGAACGAGCACAAACCAACTTATGGATGCCCTGCTTACTGACAAGTAGTATGTGAGTGAGTTCTTAGTAGTATGTAAATCTCCAATATACTGTATGTCCTTGCTTCTCCTTTCTGCTGCCTTTAAAGGAATACTCCCCCAATTTAGCATTGCCCTTCTTTAACCATGTCAGACTCATGATGGAAGAGAGATCAAAATCTCTATCTAGCTCTTCTCTAACCTTCTTTGACCTGGAAGAGGACAAACATTATATGAGCAGAATACAGTATTATTCCATCATAATTCTCTCGATTGGTTGTTTTGTCAGTACAACCTCTTTGACATTCAGTCACCTCTGTTTTCCCCCATTTTTTTTATTCATTAATTACTTGCTGCCCTAGATGCCTCCCTCCCTTCCCTCCCTCCCTTCCTGACCTGGGAGAACAGGAGGTAGCCATAGTCGTCGCAGGGCAGCATGTCGTCTACCAGTACCGTTGTCCACGTCCCGTCTTTACATAACCGAACCTGGTAGGCCCCCTCGGGGCAGATGGTCCTGGTGATCATCACCCTCTCCACCAGCTCCGGACGCTCCGCCAGCACCGCCAGCGCGCTCAGGAACCTGTGGAGGAATAAAACTCAATGAATTGGAAAATGAAGCCTCTGATCAGGATGGACAGATGGCTGAACGAGAGGATGTGACTGAAACAAGGCGTAAAGACAATCTGAATTACACCGTAAAACAAATGGAGATACAGAGACATAAATGATCAGCTGATTGTGACGGACAGGTGGATGGCTGAATGGATTCCCACTTTAGTCAGAAAGACAGACAGGAAACATAAATGTCAACTGCTAAACACAATCAGAGAAAAAGATCAGACTGAAACAAACTGACAAGCAGCCATGAGCTTTGAGTGTGGAATTAAAACATCCTTTTTCCGCAGGGTACTCTGAGCAGTTATGAAACATTTTTTATCTGTACATAATTTGCCCTCATTGAAAATCAATCACATTTGATGAGTCAAGCATCTATGCCTTCTAGTTACCTCCCCATTACTGTTAATTCACCCTGCAGCAAAGACAAACTGGCTCGCCTCCCCTAATTAGTTTGCAAGAGGAATTAGTTAATCAAAAATCTGGATACATCAGAAAATGCTAATTCCTCACACAAGAGAAATGTGGCTGGGGACACAGGGGATCCAACTTAAAAGGAATATATTTTAAAGTGCACAGTAGTTCATCTGAAAATATAGAAAGAGCTCACACAATACTGATGAAACAGCTACAAACTGTAGAAGTTTTGGGACAACAAGCTAAAAATACATGTCTTTGTATGCCGTTGACTCACCGCTGTACGGTACACTGACCCCCTTATTAATGTCAACTAAAACTAACCGAACTGACTAGATACTTTTGCCTCTAGCATTACTGTCACTGTACGTACAGATAAAAGCGATATCAGTTCACCCACCAATATTTGTTGGTGCAGCAATCGTTTAAAGACTGAAACTTGTTTGCGCTGGGTTGGAAATGTGTATTATTAAAGCTATATTCCATCTGTTCAAGTGGCAGCTGAGCGAGGCCGATCAGCCCATTCAGCCACTGATGAAAAACCAATCGGCTACAAAAAATCAGATGAAAATCCAATTAGCCATGTCATAATGTGACTCTGATGTCAGCTTGTATTGCAGCCGTACTCAAGGACAAGGGTGCCTGGCACTACTTTCTTCTGCCGTCATTGGCTGGCTGAAGGGAGTGGGATTGTTTGCTGGTTTATTAGGACAAGTAAGTGTATGTTTGTGTGTGTCTGTGTATCAGAGCGAGAGAGTGAGAGAGTGAGAGAGATGAATTAGGGTTACATCCTGTTGCGAGTGAGAGGATTCGGCTCTGGGGAGGGTTATTTTTGATAAGCTGTGTGTGCTGGTGATGAAGTGAAAAGTTGTATTGGGACAACTTTGTGAGTGACTGTTCTTTGTTGCGTGTGTGTGTGTGTGTGTGTGTGTGTGTGTGTGTAGGAAGATGGTGGATGGCAACACACATATATATATATATATATACACACACCCCAAAGGACACACGGAACAAGGGCAGAGAGATAAAGCATGTGTCCAGACTCACATTCCCGTGAATAATCTCCCTGTCAGGTGTATCTGTGCATCCGTCCAACTACACCCTGCTCCCTCTTTCATTTAATGCTTGCCGTCTTTCTTTTTTTTTCTGCCTCCCAATTTTTCAGTTTCTCGCTCTTTACTTACTGTTTCACTGCCTCTCCGTCACTGTCTCCATCTCTACTCTCTGCTAGCTTTGGGCTGAAGTATTCATCTAAAGCAGACTCAAAAACTACACAGACATGAAATGTTATCTGTTGTCTGTTTTATATTACTCTGCACTTTCAGAGACCGAACGAAATGAAAAATGTACTTTTACTTTGGGGATCTTTAGCTATTCTTGTATGTCCTGGGTCAAAGCATTAATCAGGGCAACCTCTTCCCTGTCAAGCCTTTTTGTAAATGAATGGTCTGCCTCTAGATTGTTCCAAGTTATCTGGACTGATGAAAGCCCTGTGTGTCCTTGTCTCGGTTATGATAGCTCACCAGCAGTTCCCGAGCAAGCCTTGCAGGATGTCAGATGGTCGCGGCGTGCGGAAGACAGACCACTTGACGCCTCGGTCTTTGAAGTTGCTGCAGTTGATCTCGTGGGGGCGGAGCCACTTTTTGATCCGCTGCTGGACGCTGTCGCCCTCGGGGAAGCCCACGGAGCGAGGTCCCGGGGGGAAACTGTCATCCACAAAGTTCACAGCGTTCTGAACAGAGACAAGAGGGAGACAGCAGAGGGTGGAGAGGAAAAGTGATAGGGAGACAAAGGGGTGAGACTATTGAACCTGTTCAAATATGACTTCCATTTAAAATAGATTAAAAAACAGTAAGACACTATTAAATGATAGGAGAAAGCATCTAATCTAAAAACTTGAAAATCCATTTTAAATCAAGCCCAAAGGAGTTGGTGAGAGTACTTAAAAATGAAGCTTTTCAAACAGCTAATGGAAGCCTGAAGGACACTTGGAGCTTTGAGGACTAACAGTTAAATTCTACCCTGCATTTCTGATGACATATTTTGCAGATGGATGATGATTAATACAGGATACTACAGGCCACCACACAGGCCCTGGATTCTTGGAGTAACAAGGACAAACTGCTGCTATCCACATTTAGTCATGTGTCAGGAGGAATGACTTCCACGGATAGCGTGGCATCACACATGTGCACAGCAAGAGATAAAATATGGCACCATGGACCAGCACAAATACAAACACATATATCACTTTTCAAACATTTAAAAACTTTCCGAAATATTCCCCGCAAAGCACCGAGCATTTAAAATGACACACTGGATTTAAACACTCTGAAATGTAGCTGCCTCTGTACTGTACACAGGACCTGGAGTACATGGATACATTAACGGATCAAGACACCCAATCTGTCACACTATCTGCTCATCTAAAACTCTGCTGTACAAAACCCGAGAGGGCCAACAGACACACACGCAACCCTATCTGGTTTCCTATTTGTGGTGTCAGAAGTGGGCCCGGCCAGTCGTGTTGCGAGGCAGGCAGGGGATGTAATGTGGGCACCCTACTGGAGGCTCACAGTGAAGCGAATTGATTAGTCGCCATCCCCCACAATCCAATTCTGTAGCCTCGATGCAGCATTAGCTACCAGACAGAATCACTTCAATGCTGCCTCACCACCCCGACCATCCGAGCCCTCCGTGTAGCTTACCGATTCTGTACTTCACTGGCTTATGTATGACCTTTGTGCTGGCTTTTATTGTATGGGCTTACGGGCTGTTGTGGATTTAACACAGAGGTGGAGGGGAAAGCTTTGGCCCTAGACACATACAGAGACTGAACTTCAAGCTAATGCAACAGCCTGTAAATAAACAAGACTAGAGAGGGACAAAACTGTGAGCAGTGACCAAGGGTTAAAGAGTCAGCCTCATTAAGTCCAAATTGCACCTGGCAGAGCTCAGCTCCAGCTACTAGCTGCAGGTGTTTATACAGAAGATGTCAGCCTGTGTCTTAACAAGCACAGAAATAGTTATTCTGGAATCTAATCTAAAATATTACACTAACATAATCATTTGGGAAGCTAAGAAAAGCCTGTTAGTTTTAATGGATAGATACATGTTAGCTACAATAAGAAGTTAGTACGCCAAGACGCTTGCCACCAAGCCTCTGACATCCAAACTATTTTATTAATTATTTTATTGGCTTAATCTGGTCTGTCAATGATTTAAACAAGTCATGAATTGACTGTTTATTCCACTTATTGCTCTAAATTTAGCTGAGATGGCCATTTAAGTTCAATCATACCATTTATGCTATTTATTTACTTATTGTGCATCTGCAAACTTTCACATGCATGCAGTTAAAGAATGAATTCATTATTTGAGAATTATTTTACTGTTTGGCAGGTAAAAGCAAATTTTCACACTCAACCGTTGAAGGGAATATCAGTTGATGAATAAACCAAGAGGGCCTGATGATGTTAGCGTATAGTAAGTAAGTATATGCTGTGAAATTCTGCCATTTGCAGAACGGTCTGCTGCAGTCTGCGCATAAGAAAAGACGGTACTGCACATCCTGCAATCGGTCTATTCACATTTGGAGCGCACAGTACCCTAGTGGAAACTATCACGTATCTTGAATAGTGTAAGCAGTATGAATGACAAGCACACACAAAAACATTTTTCTGTTGTTCAGGTTTCAGTGTTGTTACGTCTGCCAGCATAAGTCTAGCTGACTGGCCTCATCTAGTGAACCTGCTGCTCCTGTCTCTGATTCTATCTCTGGGCACGTGCCAGCATGCAAACTAGACTGCGATCAGCCAATTCAGTGCTGAGCTGAGAAAACTTGCTGCCTTCCCGCCATCTCCCAGACTACACAGAACTGTCAGGCCTTTTTTTAAGGATAGAATGCTTGTAGTTAGATATCTACATGTTACAGACAACCTACTGATCTCCGAAAATGTGGTGACAAGGAACTATAGAGCTGGATTTCACAGTGCCACACTTATTAAACCCAAAACAAAAGTGTCTCAGAACAGCCTGGTACTGTCACGGGCTGTGAAAACCTGTCACTGCAGGCAGTCAGAATTTACAATCCAACATGCAAACCAAACCCCCCCGCCCCCTCCACACACAAAATCCCAAGTGTGGCAAATATTCAAGCAACAAGTAGCATAAAGAGCGGTGTAAGAACAAAAATAAAACAAATCAAAGTCAATCCGTTGCAATGTAGCATCTTTTTGTTGCTCCCCCAGAGGGTGACATGGAGAGAGAACAGAGGCACCAGTTCCAGCCATGCTGGGTTTTACAGTTCACAAGCAGCGCTGATGGCTGTTAGTAGCATTTACTCGTTTGGCTCAGTGAGTAAGCAGACACGCTCTCGGGCACTGGCATCAAACGTTCACACACATACCTCTCACTCTCCAAACCAATCAAGGAGAGAAGAAAAGCAAGGGGGCATAGGAAACACACTCCACTCAGGTGAGGAGAGATTATTTGTCAGACCATAGTTTTACTCTATATTGATTGCTATTATCAGGGCAAACTCTCCAGTAACTTATACAGTACACTGACCATCCCCTCTAATACAACAAGTCCAGAAAAAAAAAACATGCAGTCTGAAACGTTAACTGTATTTGTGTGGTCTGACTGCACACACGCCTTATCACAGGGCAAACCGAAACCTTTTATCATTATTAAATTCTCACCACTGGTGTTTTGGTGCTTGCCAAGTGTTAATGCCGTGACAGAGATGGATTAGAAAGAGTAGCACCTCTTGCTTACCAATCCTACTCCGCTTCATCTCTCTGACCCCTAAAACCGAGCTGCAGCAGTTGATGCTGTTAGTGATTACATTCACTATAGGGAAGCAGATCATTTCTGCTCCTCTTCTCTCCAGCTCTGCTACTAAAAATAGGCCAGCCCCATGTTCACCTTAACACACACACACACACACACACACACACACACACACACACACAGCCTGCCACACATTGACTGCTGCTACACTGGAGGATTGAGTGCAGTCGTGTGGAGAGGGTGGGATGGGGGGTGGAGGGGGTGGGGGAGGGTGGCAAGGGGAAAGCATATTTTCAGATATTAGAGGAGAGGAGGAAAAAAAAAAAACAGGATGAGCGTGTGGGGATAGATGTGATGGAGGGAGACGGGATAAAAAGGAGTTGAAGACAGGAAAGTGCTTTGAAGAGCGCAGAGGGGCAGAGCTAGAGAGAGGGAGGCCTAAAATATTTGTAGGGAGAAAAGGAAAGATGATAAAAGAAAGACGAGCTTAAATGACGATATTAAATTGGGTAAAGAAGAAGGGAAGGTGGGGATGTGGAATCTCCAATATCTTCCTTCCTACCGAGCCAACTTGCCTCCCACGCTCGCAGCAGTGAGCCCTGTGACTTTCAAAGAAGCCATTAATAATGCATCCTAAAGCTCGCTTCATGCCATTGTAAACATGGCATGATAGGTGCCATGCCGCTGTAGTAAGTGGGAGCACACCAGATACCCAAAAAATTCGGAGAATATAAGCCGACCCAAATAATAACCTGAATCTGATCAGTTCTGGATTCTGCACTGCCCATATTTATCTGAGGTCTAATTAGTCCAATCAGGCTTGTCTCATTAGCATAGATGTTAGAAATGTTAAATGGTCTCAAATGAACCCTCCTGAGTAGCATATCCATGACAACTTAATATAGGCTCATCAGAAGGTTCAGTATTGCAGAGGAAGTGAACATAAAGTGGTGTGATACAAAGAAGCAACATAAAGGTTGTCACATCTTAGCTATAGTTGCTAGGGAATACATCTCTGTGTCTCCAAACAGCTGTGACACTGTGAATCAGACCAATCGAGGCCCATGAATGACACAATTGATCTCCAAGTCTTCTTGATCTTTGATCATTAAATTCAGAGGCGCTGAAGCAGGTAAAATACATCATTATTTTAGGTTGTTATGACAACAGACTAGCAGAATTACAAAAGCATAATTAGTTTTTTGTCCCTTCAAAAGGAATAAACACTTCCTGATTAACATTTATTCATCTAATGAAAATGTTCTGTTTCCCGCTGTCTATAGATAAAAAATTTGCTGTCTGTTTAACAAGAAACAGTTATGATACTTTAATAACTGGTCAAAGTTGATGCAGGAAAGTTAACGTTAAAGGGAAATTGCATTCAGAATGATGAAAATTGTTTTTATCTCCCATGGACAGTTCTGCTATTATACAGTCACATGTATTTCATAAGTACTAATATCTCCCTAAAGAAGAACTCTAAGTTGTGTTTGGTGTCAACTAAGGACAGAAAAAAGACAGTCAAGACTCAAACTAGGCTGTCAGCAAGAACAGAACATCACAGCGGTCTAATCAGAACAAACAGTAAAACTGGACTCATTACACCCTCCCAATACAAGAGTTACAGTCCTGACAAAATACTTTTAAAATTCTGAAATCAGAATTTTGTGAAGTGACTTCTCTGCGACTGAGAGCAGGTTGTATTCTGGATATAAAACGGACACACACTGTATCTGCAGCTCATTTAGGTGGCGAACGTTCACCCGCTGGTCGTTTAAAACTCTGCTAACGAAGCAAGTGCAAACAGAGGCAATGACAAAGCCTATTAGCATTTCTCTGAAATTAGAGAGACTGAGGGAGTGGGAACAATGCCAGAGCCATAACAAAAAGAGGAATTACAATGAGGGAACTGCACACTGGAAGGCAATGTGCACCCCTGCAACGCATTACACACTGAAATAAGCAGATTTTGACTCCTCAGAGAAGCCAAAGAAAACTCAATAAAATGTAAAGGTAAAGGAAAAATTGGCTACACATGATTAACTTATTGATAATCTTACAAATGTCTGTAGACGGAAACTTGCTACTTTTCTAGACGATGCAAATTAAATACGAGAGAAAAATCACTTATGACGTGATAAAAATCTGAGAGACATAAAAGATTTCACCATTGAAAGCCCCAGGCCCCTTATAATTTACTACTGACACACAGTGACTGTGCCTCATTAAAGTGTTTTCTTGCATTTCCCAGCTACAACTAAATCTTCCCTTACCTCTCTGCAGAAGCTGACTATGTTCTCCCAAAGCTCCTTGGCCTCGCCCTCATCATTTCGTCGACGGGCCTCTACATGCATGCTCTCCCTCCTCTTCAGAGGCTTAACCACCTTGCGAAGGGTGAGGTACTGCTGGGGTGTGTGGCATGCTGCACAGTTCTTGGCCTTGGTGTCATTGAGCAGCGTACATGCTGGGCAGCTCCACTGTCCTACCTTCTCCTGAAGGCTAGATGAGGTGGAGGAGGAAGAGGAACTCGAAGCAATGGCAGAAGAGGATGACGGGAAGCCCCGGGCCTGTTTCCGTGTTTTATGACCCGAGGAGGATGAAGAAGAAGGTGTACAGGAGCATGATGCAGTGCCAGGCCCTGACGGGAGGCCACAGTGTGTACAGCAGCGGGGCAGTGGCGCCTGCTGCTCCTGAAAGCCATGCAGCTTGGAAGAACCACAGGCCGAGCACTTGGGTGCACCAGTAGGGTTGCGCAGCGTACACTTGGAGCAGGCCCAGGTGCTAAAATCTGGGCTCGAGGGGCTTGCCGGGGTAAATCGTACCGTCTCACAGCCTACTAGGTCAATGAGGTCAGCACCTGCCCGTGATGATCGGCAGGCTTCGCACTTAGATGAGTTACCTGGGTTGGGCAATGAGCAGCTAGGGCACTTCCAGGTGGGGGTGACTGAGGAAGCAACAGGGAGGTGGGGGGCTAGTGGATGGTGCTGAGAGTCTTCTTCCTCCAAGATACTGAGGCGCTTGCTGGGGTATGAAGGTTCTTGGGGCTGGGCATGTTTTGGCTTGGCTGGTCGCTGTGGGCCTGGCTGGGGTGGCACAATGGCTGCCGAAGGGGAAGTGGGGCTGGGAGTGTTGGTGCCTGGGTTTGGTGGGCGCCCTGGAGGGGGCACCTCTCTTCTGCTTCGGGGCACAGGGTTATTTTGGAGGGAGGAGGAGAAAGCAGTAAAAGGGGACGAAAGGGATTGCGAGGAGACATGGGGAGGTTCTTGAGGGTCACATGGAGGGGCTGGCGGAGAGTCATCCGTTAGGTCTATGAGTAGTGGGGCAGTTCCTGCTGTGTGAACTGGAAACCCCAGCACAGGTGTGCGCACCTCAGGCACCACCAGCGCCTCAGGGGGGATTTTAGGCAAAGACAGTTTCCTGGGCCCACCACATGCTGAGCATGACAGAGCCACGGGTGTGTTGTGAAGCGTGCAGCGAGGACAAGCCCAGCCGGAGTGCTGCCCCTCTAGGCTGACCACCTCTCCATTGCTCTCAGACCGTCGCAGCACTTCGTCCTTAGCTGGATGCTGTCCATGGGGCTCAAGTAGAACTGTGGGGGTGACGGTAGGTGTTGGAGGTTCAACTGGAGCGGGCGGGAGTCCGTTGGCAGTGGCAGCTATGGTGGTTGTAGGGGGTGTGTGAGTGGCAGGGGATGGTCCGAAGCCACAGACGGAGCAGGCTCCAGATCCCTGGGGGTTGTTGAGTGTACAGCGGGGACAGGCCCAGCGATGCTCCTCAGTGCTGCTTAGCCGCAGGATCTGGTTAAGGTCAGGTTTTTGGCGTGGTGCCTCACAGATGGAACAGCGAGGTGCTGCGCCGGCATTTAAGAAGGTGCAGCGTCCACATGACCACTCGCTGCCTCGCACTGCTGCTGCCATGGAGCCAGGAGAGTGAGAGTGGCTGGAAAAAAAAACAATGAGTCAAAACAATTTCAACAACCAAATGAGTCAGGAATACGTATAACTGTAAGTACTTAGCAAGTATTCTGAGAAATGAACGTAAGTGGAGGGAAGTAGGAGGAAAGGAAAAGACAGAAGCAAGACAGGGTCAGAAAGTCAGAAAGAAGAAATTATGAAAAAGCCAGAGAATGAATACATGCTTTCAGTCAACTAAGGGTGATTATCTAACAGGAAGAGAGGACAGTGAAAATATTTGAGACGGCAAGAAGAGGACAGGAGGACAGAATTAGAAAAAAAAAATGGAGAGTGAGAGGGAAAGATTAGCTAGTGCAGGGGAAAAATCAAATCTCCCTCTCGGGGGCTTGAGGGCAGTAAATCCATACACAATGGCCACATGATTAGAGCCAGAAAGACAGCACATAGAGAGGAGGAGCCAGAGGAGAGGAGAAGAGAGGAAGAGGAGGCTGCTATTGCCTCAGAATACTAAGGAAAACATCCAGCTGACTGACACTTATTAGAATGGAAAAAACACATGGGATCTCTACCACTTCATATTAGCACTTCCCTCCCCCTTTACTCTGTGGATGCTAATTATGCAGGGCAGACAGGGGCAACTTAAGGTCATGTCAAGTCCATACCCAAATGAATTTTCCAAATGTATTCCGGCAGCACTTGTGACTTTGGCATATTTTGGAGAAAAATCATTCATACTCCTGGATTTAAAGCAACAACTACTATCAACATCTTTAACAGGACTTCAACTATGTAAACAGCGCAGAGGGAAATGTGAGGAGAGGAGAACCAATCAATTTTAGTTTTGATTCTGAAGCATAGGGAGTAATTCATCTATCTATCCAGCTACTCAGTAGATTTCCACCGCCTACTCATAATAACCTAAAGCAGTCTGTTACTGTGGATTGGCTTATATGTATAATTCATTCTGTGTGCCTGCTGTTCAGTCAATCTGACTTATTGATAGTGGGTATAGTAGGGTCTTTTGGTCGGGGGGTGGGCAGCACTGTTGGATACCTCCAGAGAGCAAGGGAGGTTTGGAGAGGGACGGCCCCGAGGGACGGACGTGGTGGCTGTCTGGACAAGCCCATAAATGTCACTGTCACTCAAGTTGCTCATGTGTGAACACCAGCACAGAGAGGGTAATGTGGGAATTGCACGACAGTGGAGGGTAACGTGCTAAGAGCTAGAATACTGCGATGCTCTTCACAACGATCCCAGTGGCAAACACGTTGCCCACAAAATGACCGCAGACATGTGGATCCGGTCACATTTATCCCTCCTGATTATATTTTGATCTGAGAATTACGCTGAAAGCTGAGGCTGCTTTGACAAAGCCTTGGTTCGTGGCTGTTTGTAAAACGTCTATACTCCCTGTAGAAACAGTCCATTTCTCTATGAAAGACATATTCGGATGCTCCTTTGTTGTTTCAGGGTGGCTGCTGGTTGGCCGGCCTAGGTCCTGCTCTTCACCACCGCAGCGCCATGTGTCTTGGCCAGCTAATTGCCCTTAGTTCAACTCCATTAAACCCTTTCAAACCGGGCGAATCCTCAGAACCCAGGGGAACCTCTTACAGACAACCTCTCGCTCCCAGCGCACTGTCCTCTCCTCTCGTCAACTCTCCTCCCTAAGGTAGGGAGGAGAATGACAGCAGGGAGGGATACTAATGTGTCTCTTTGGATGTCTTTGTGTGTGTGTGGGTCCTTGCCGCTGGGTGTGTGCTTGTGTGTATGCCGGCATGTAGCTATATTTATCTGTAGACATAGCATAGTTGCTTGTTCTGTTGTCCAACTACATTTGTGCCTTAGATTGTGCATGCCCTCAGCCCCAGGGCCGCAACAGTATGGAGGTAGTCCCAGTGCTTTATGTCAGGAGCCATTAGCACTGTGTTAATTCTCCTGGGCTGAAGTCAGCACTCCAACATCCACTGAGTGAGGAGGAAACTCAGCCTTCCAGGGATAATAATGCACACAACTATGAAAACACAACCTTTGTGAATACACACAAACACTGAGAAATCAGTACTTAGCTCTTTGTTTTGTTTAGACTTTCATCCCACAGCACTATCTGCCAAGTCCTCCTAGTAGCTATGCAATATTAAGTCTTCTTGACTGTAAACATTAACACAGAAGGAATGTCAATCAGTCATGGTGTAAGACATTTGGTTGCCTTAGATGATTCTTTCGTTTGCTCTGAAAATATTCCATCCATCCACAGCACAACCAGTGCTATGTCCTCAGACTACAACACATCCCCCATCCCCTCTGCAGTACAGTTTAATGTAGTTGAATTAAGTGGCAGCCCCATGCTAACACTGATGGCACACGTTCACGCCGCGCTATGCTCTCCAAAGTCCTGCCTTTCTGATGACAACAACAACAACAACAAGTGTCAACACCTCATGTTTGATGACAGGTTCTTCCCTGTGGCCATTTTCATAACTGTCAGGCCTCTTTCATCTCCAGAGAGAGAGCAAAGTCATGGTGTCAGCCATATGGAGACTTTGTCAAAGCAATTGATTTGGTTCTTGACAGAGCACAGGGATCGCAAATTCATTTTGTTTCTGTCCGCAGCAGCTCAGAGGTAGGAGCATTTCATCAAAGTGATAAGGCTCTCGTGGAATTTTTTACAATCTAGCATAATTATCTCATTATTATCTGTTGTAAGGATCCTACCTTTCAAATGTAAGTCACACATGATAAACAACTACAACCATAATTCTCGCCATTAATTAAAAGCATGTATATTATGTGGACGCCTTTGTATGTACAGTACATGCCTGCAGCAGATGATGAACCACTAAAACCTGTGATCCTTGGACCCTACTTAAAAAGGATGCTTTCCATGTACATGCTCCACTCAGTCACAAGAGTGTACATGCACACACCTTTTGTCCTTGGCCCTGTGTTCAGTGGAGCTGCTCTAAAAGTGCCCACTTCAGCTCCTCAGTTCCTCAGTGTCGCAGACCTGGGCTAGTAGCCAACAGCTTACAGTGGAGAGGATGAGAGAGAGAGAGAGAGAGAGAGAGAGAGAGAGAGAGAGAGAGAGAGAGAGAGAGAGAGAACCCATCTTTTTGCAATGAGGTCCTCAATGCAGCCTGCTGCCCATAAAGTACCTGCTCCTAGTCTAAATTCACTCAAGTAAGAGCATCAATGACCCCTGGCCAATTTCTCAATGCTTCACTGGGTGTAAGACAATCATAGGGCACTTCAGCAGACTATTACAGGGAGTGAGAGCTCTACAACTCTCAGTGAAAATGAGCAAACCGGTAACATCATGGTAGAGGGGGGGCTTACATTAACTTCCACGACTGACATGTCAGCAAGGAGGTCTTTAAGCTTTAGAGAAAAAAGGTACCCATGAGAAACAAGAGTAGAAAGATACAGAATGTATAAAATCCCGGATGTAAGATGGGTCAGTAAGGTTTAAAGGAAGGCTAAGGCTAGAGAAAGTCTACAAAAGCACTGTTGATCGTGTGCAGGCCACCTATGGCTGGCTACTTGGATTCATTCCCCATGCTGAACTCTGTTGCGAGATCAAGTGAGCCGAGTCTCGCCAGCTTCTCCCTGCCTCACTGTGAGACATTTGGCCTTTGTGCGACAGTCATTAGCACTGCCTTTCCAAGGTTGGCCCTGAGCCCAGGGCCTGAGGGGAAAGCGTGGTACCTTCCTTGGCCATTGGAGGCAGAGCGTATCTGCTTTATACATTCAACACAAAAATATGCCATCACCATGAAACTGTTTGATAGCAGTAACCATGGCTGTTAATGATGACAATCCTTTTCCTTGAGGATTAAACATGGCAATTTTGCTGTATTATCCTCAGATTACACTGTGTGTAGACTTTCTCAATTCTAATCAAAAAACTAAAGACATAATTAATAAAGAACACCGAAAGTACTTAAGATAAAAATGTCATACTATTAATTCTTCATCAACAATTCAAACTCTTTGTTGTCTAATGAATGAATCCTGACATCAGCTAAGCTAAAACACAAAAGGACTCATTCAGCTCTTGACAGATACTATGTAGCACATAGCCAGTCATTCAGTGTACAGCGAGAGTCATACAGGGTTTCCATGACTGGCTTCCTCCTCCTTCTATTAAGCATTGTCCTGGGTTATTTGAACTTCTTGATAACCAGCTTTGCAACAGCAGTTATCGGTGATTACTAAATAAGCTGCATGGGGGCTGAATAACTCTGGTTAGCCTGACTGTGTGTAACTCCCTTTGCGAGACAGGCTCCAGATGTAGCCTCACACTCGAATAAAATGAGTCACTCCCTTAATAAATATTTACAGGCATAGCTTCACGCGAACACAGGAAGAGGACTGGAGACGTGCATGCTGTAGCTTATAAAATGTTTATGTTAGAAAAGTGTCTTTTGCACTTGATGATGAACCTGTTTAATAGCTGTAACCCAAGCAGTGACAGGGATGCAGGGAGTGTTTTTTTCATAACTACCAGCTGCAAGGACGCTACCCATGGTTTTTCGGAGCACTGCCATTGCTGCTTGTGCTTTTCTTTTTTCACTTCATCCACACAAACATCGCTGGCAGACAGAACAATGATTCCAGCTGAGTGGTGGTCTTGTTTAACAGTGCAGAGCTTGTTATGAAGAAATGAGACTTATCAAAGGCAAATGTGCCCTTGGATCAGACAACCTGTTAAAAAAAAAAAAAAAAAAAAGGATAATGAATGTTGAAACATTCTGCTGCATCTGAACACACCCAGAAAACGTCAGCAACAGGGATCAGATCAGCACTTTCACAAATTCCGTACCAAATTATGAGAATTTATTTTACCCCTTTATTAATGAATTCAGTCTGTTTGCAGCAGTTTTACTAGTAAAAAGGTTTGTTTATCACTGCGTTGTGGGATTTTTTCTTGCAAGATCAGAAAAAACTTTTTCACTTAAAAGTAATTTCCCCCTGCAAGCATTTCTCCCTGTCTTTCAGAGGAGCTGATGAGTCAGGGTCAAAGACTCGAGGATTAACTGTAAGAGCCTCCTTTCTACCTGTCAGGTAATATGTTGTGGAATGAATATGACTCATCATTCTACCCAGACACTTCTCCAGAATTCATTTGTTATGACAAACACGGAGCTGCCTGCTACTTATCTTACGCGAGTATCTAGAGCCCAGACTTTAGCCGCAGATAAAGCGTTTCTACTGTGACATGCTTAGACTCGGTGATTCGATACAAGGGATTGGTGACAGTGAAGCTTTAGTCAAATGGGACAACACAACAAGATAATTGGGCAAGTCTTAATGAAGTGACATTAAGACACATTTTAATGAGAATAGAAACTTTTTTCTGCTGAATATGAAGACAAAATAGGTTTATAAAATGGTATGGTGTTGGCTGCAGCACAAAGATTCCTAACAGACAAAGGGTCCTAAGAAGAAGTGCCCTTAAGCCAGAACATTCCTCTAATAAGCACCTGCGAGGAAATACACTCGGAGCAATTTAAAAAACTGAATAAATACTCCTCTCTTGTCTCTAACAAGAAGGGTGTGATACTGCAGAAACAAGGGTGTCAATGTTATGTGTCAGGATAATGCCACACTTGAGAATATCTGAGTCTGGTTATCCTATTTATGATGGAAAGTTGAATAGTTCATTGCTGTTGTTGTTATTCCGTAAGCCTGATCCGGATGATCACACACCACATGATCAAGACCTCCCAACCGAGAGCTATCAGCAAAATAAGATGTGAACTAACAATCTATTCTCCTGAATAAGTAACCGAAGTTAAGAATGCAAATATTGGTCAGGAAAGGGGAAAAGAAACAGAGAGAATAACAGTAGCTTCTGACCTCTATCTGTGCCCTCAGTGAATATTTCACGACCAGTGCTCATTTTTGACGAGTGAATCTGTCAACAGTGGAGACAGCTTTAGACATTTGAATCTTTAAACAGAGGAAACTGTCTGACTGGGTTTCAGTAGACATCAGTAGCCCAGAGCAAAGCAAGAGCAAGCAGGAAGCCAGCAGGAAGCTCCAGAATCGGGATAAAGGAGGGGAACAAATGGCAGAGGCAAAGCCGTTGTGCTAAACTGGAGTTCCTGCAGGCAACCGAACCTGGAGGGCAGGAGTACTGCTGACACAGCGCTGCCTTCAGCCAGAGGGGGGGAACTTCTCAGACAGGTAGCACAAAGTAGAGTTTTACTTCCTGTTACCAAGGCAGACCAGCAAAAAAAACACTTGCCATGAGGTTTCTCTAGCTCACAGGCATCACTAAACACTGACATAAATAATCAGCAGGTTATATGGTATTCCTCCCGAGGTTTAATTTGCCAGCACAGGTTTCTTTCTCTGTGTGAGATTGCCAGGTTACCATGTGTGGTCTTATCTAGGGCCCAATGAATTAGGTTACTGAGCATATGCTACAGATTTCCATGGCAACAAGAGCGAGGGAATCTAGAATCATGTCACTTGCAGTGCCAATAGGCTAGTTTTTTTTGTTTTTTTTTTCTTGCCGCATCAATGCTCTGGTTTCCAAAGAAAGCCACACTGTGAGACAAAGCCTGAGTGCCAAATCTATTCTGGAGGCTTGGGGAGTGTCCTGACGTGGCTCTGTCTTCATCAGACAGGCAATAAGCAAGGGAGGAGGCGCTGAAATAATTCAGACATAAACACAGCCAGTGACCATGCTGGTCGAATCCAAGTGGACCCGTTTTAATCCAATTAAAGGGAGGAGAGCCAGTGGAACGAAGCTGCGATAAACACCATCATCCATCATGCTGGGGCAGTAGAGACACTGGGATTGACTCAGGAGAGAACAGGCACTCACTTTAAGGGCTCAGGACTCCAAAGGCCATGTAAAACGCACCACACTAGCACCATAAAGATAAGATAAAATTAAGTGCAGCCACATTGTTAACTTACAATAATAATATTGTGACACAACTGCATTATGCTGCTATTAAAATGGAGAAAAGATTGAGATTGCAAAGTTAAGGAAAAATTGAGGCATATATAACTACAGCTGCACGTCTCATGTCTGCTAAGTGGGTTGTTGTCTCGAGTGAACCTTCACAGTTGAGATACTGATTCAGTGCACACAAACACTTCCCAAAGTCAATGGGACACTGCTGGATGGAGACAAATTGAAATTACCCAAGGACAAGACTGTTTGTGCAGCTTCCAGGCTAGGAAAAACAAGAAAAGAATATGTTTTATAGGACAATAAATTAGACAACAAACTGTATGAGAACGGCTGAGGTTAAGCTGGGCTCATAGTGTTCTGTTGTTTCTTTATTTCATGCTCTGTCACAGCTCAGCAAAGCTTGCCTAAATTTGTTAGGCTCACACAGCAGTGTGTATATGTGCATAAGACTGTAAGTGAGTTTGTGTGAGAGAGAAAGGGAGTGGGGGTAGATAAGAGGGCATGTTCCAAGTGCTATTGCACAGTGTTTCTAAAACATCTATTGTCAGAGAAAGTGTGTGTGTGTGTGTGTGTCCCTCACTGCCTTCCAGCAGTCGACTGAAATGGTGTGTACTATATATCTGTGCATTTCTACATGTGCCCCGCTGAGTGAGGGTGTAGTCTGACTGGTGATGGAGGGAGAGGGTTGTTGCTACAGAGATGCACGGATGCAATAGAAGAGTCTGTTGAATAAAAAAGCAAGTTTGCTGTATGATGCAAAACTACACTGACAGCATGACCTATAGTTCCAGCTTCATTCATGCATGGAGCTACAGCTGATGGAACACTGTTTAAGCATGGGCTGAAAGCAGCTCCGTCTATTTTAGAACTCTTAGAAGAGTAAGCAGTGGAAGCCATGACAGCCTTAACTGTTAAATGTAGAGCAACTGCAAGGAAAGCATTGACAGCGGCGGGCAGGAATCAAGAAAGATGAAAGCCCAACTGGAGTCTGATGCTGAATAAATAATGACATCCATTGTGGGGAAATGTGATCGGGCTCTCTGAAAATCAATAACTAACAACCGGACCATGATGCCCTGAGTGACTCAGCAACAACTTCAATACACTACAGGCGGTCGATATCAACTGCCTGTTCTTGTTCCGGGAGACATGACCCAAAAAGCTGAAGGAAAACTGGAAACACTTCTAAACAAGTTTCTGTGAGGGCGGTTGAGAAGATCATCTTTTGGAGGAAAGTCAGTCATAACTGCTGGATGAGCTGTGCATTCAAACAGAGCCTCTTACACACTGCTGGTAGGCCCTTCACTGTTGACAAAAGGCGAGGACTGGAACAGTGGATTGCTGCACAGTAGTATTGTAAGTACAATATCGTCAATATGGACAAAACAGTCTATATGAATAGCACGTCTCTTCTGCAAATAGTTTATTTTGCTAGACGTAGCACTCGCTCAATTACACATCTGCTGCAAGCTCAATAATACGTTTGTTCTTAAAGAAACTTCTAATAGGTGTGTTCACAGTAACTTTTTACTGTGCGTGGACAATAGATGAAAAATACCAGGGTACTAGCCACAGTAAGCTAGATACACTTTACTCTGTTAGTAATTTCAGAAATTAACAAAGCTGAATCAAAGCTCGTCTGAAAGCCTGATAAAAGCATGACAGCAAAACTCGTCTTCCAGTTACCCGTGGGCTGGTTTTTCATTGGGCTCATAGAGGTCAGGTCAATCCAACTGCCCAGGCAATCCACTCAGCACTCCATAAAGTGTAGCACATACTGCACAGCTGTGCTAGGACGAACCAATAGGGTGGGATTTTGGTTTACAAATCCGGCTTAGTCAGATTTTGGGTGCATCATAGGAAAACATCAAAATGCAGGCTTTGATTAGATAAGCTTTGATGAAACAGGGGATTTGATCCATCACTGTGAGGTTATTGAATCCTCAGTAAGCATTTCTAAAAGCATGTGAAAGAGAAAATAGTAAGTTTCTTAAATTAACAACACTAAAAGAATAGTGTCGGTTTACGATGCAAAGTGCACATCACTCAAGTACTGAAGCCAAAGATAACATCAGCACAAGAGCCTCGATAATGCCACTTTGTTCGCTTACACTCAGCTTTAAATGACAGCATTCCCGTGTAATACAACCCCACGTCTCATCCCTGATCCCTCCTGTGACTTCCCCAACAAGTGTCTGAGCCAGGCCAACTGCTGCCGCTCTGTGTCCCAAGTGCACTCAACTGAGAAATGTGTTGGCACCCGGCTGGGTAGACAGTTTTGGCTCTTACCTGCGCTCTCGGTGAGGCAGTGGGTGCTGCTGCTGACGTGTGATGAAGGTGGTGCCCCACACCGGGCTGCTGTGGCTGTTCCTGAGCCAACCCACAGGAGGTGACGACGGGTACGGGGTGCTGCGGAAGCCATGGTCTGACTCTGTCTCTGCAGTGAGAGACGAGGCTGAGCTCCCCATCACCACAGCGATAGGAAATGAGTCCTTGAATGCACTCTGATGGGGGGTGGGGGGCAGGGCTCTGTTTGTTTTGTTTTTCCCCCCAAGAGCACAAAAGTTGACAGTATTCAGTGAGACACACAAAGATATACTGATTTGGAAGAGACTGAAGGGGTTGTTTGGACCACAACAGCAACCCTTATCATGCGTTTGTATTTGCTGTAAACGTCCTGTTGACAACTTTCTGCTTCAAATAGGAAGAAATTTCTCTGAGGGAGCTAGACTGAAAACAAATAAAAGCCACAGCAACAGGGGATCGAAGATAAGCGCACTCAAAAAATGAGCGGAACTCGCAGGTGGCAGAGTATGACGAACAGGGTGGATATCCCACAGTGCACGGGGGAGAAGTTCTCAATTCAAATAGTAATTTGATTCATGGAGCACTGATTCCAATTCAGCAGTTAGTCTCAGAGAGGAGAAAATACAATTTTCTCACAGCAAAGGCTCGTAATTCTCTCTCTTGTAGACTTTAAGCTCGTAGCACTCTGCACCAGGTCTTCCATAGTGCCACTCATAATTCCTCCTGCGTTCCTTGCGACACATCTCCCCAGTCTGTGCAGTCTCATGCCTGGTTCCTCTTTACATTGCACACGCTCAGAAAATCAAACCACAGTGTACAAAAGTAAATGTGTTCACTGTTTTTCAGCATCTTAGCAGCCAAACAGCACACCTCTGGAAAATGTAAGGTTCAAGAAGTGGGAAAAAAAGGAAAAAAAAAACATAAAGACATCCAGAACACCTCACTAACATCATAGTCCGTAACGACAGCTGATAGTGATCAGCAATGACATGGATCTCGCGGGGGATAAAAGCCATACAAAATATGTCCACGGAGTTATTTACAATGCCGGCACTGGAGCAAATCAATGCATTGCATTTTCCAGGGAAGGGTGTTGGCAAAACTGCAAGTATGCTAATATCCAAGTCTCATCTTTCAGACATCCAGTCTGACTAACAGCTGCTGTGGAAGTTTACCAGTAAAACACCCCACTGGATTAAACGTCATGTTTGAAAACCCTTGGGGGGGGGGGGGATTCTCACAAATTAGACCACTTCTGGTATTTGCAGACTTTTTCTGGGTTTCCAACATGAGAAAAAAAGACTCACATGATCTTCAGCATTTTAACCTGTCCTTCGTACAGAGTTAACAACAGTTGCCATAGAGTGAAAATGTTTACAGCTCGGCGGCAAGTTGTGTGTGATATCCGACAATATACCCGAGAGGAATGTTCCGTTTCGGGCTGCGGTGCTCTGCCAACGCAAGGACGGGAGATGATCCTAGTTTCCGCTGTCTGAGAGAGGCAGCTTAATATCTGTCTGATCCCACCGCCGAGGCCGGTCAGTCTAGTTCATCAACTTGCGCTGGGATTTATCCTGGACTGTCAGAGCAAGTCTCTACAGGCGAAGCAGCTGAAGGGAACAAGTATCGTTCCAGGGAAAGCTGTCAAGGAAGGGAAAGCACATTTGCATGCATTTGGACCAGTATCGATAGCTTGTCAAACCCCGGAGGCAAACAACGCAGAGATCACGTGGGTTTAAATCTATAGTTTAGGTTTGGAGATTCAGTGAACGTTGCGTGGTAATGAATCACTGATAAAAGCAGCGCATGTGGGCTTTCGATTCAACCTATCTTAACAGCGCTACAAAGCCTTACTTTTAATTAAAAAAAAAAAAAAAAAAGATGGTCTGTGTCCGTCTCCACACAGCGGCACAGAGGCCAGGGGAGAGTATCGTGCAGGAGGCGACATGCAGGCGTTAAAATAGCCGAGGAGGTCTCGTCCAGGAAGGAGCACTCAATCGCAAATTTCACCATCTTCTGCCGGGTCCATCCCAGCCTGCGTTCATCTCTGATTCCCAGCGTTTGGGGGCTGTAGATGCTGAGCCTTGTTGTCTCATGTTAGGAAACATCCTCGCTCCAGTCCCGCTGTCGCCCTCTCATAGTGTAAAACTGCTCCTTCCCAGAATGCCTGTATTTAATGTTTCCATTCGGGGCACCTCATGGTCCCATTTGTATGTTCTTATTCTCCCGTTATGAAAATGTGTCCACGGGCTTTAATTCTCCCTCGCTGGTAGCATGAGCGCAGTGGACGAGGATGCAATCTCCTCCTAACAGCGGATTACTGGAGTGTCAGCAGAGCGCAGGCGCACTGGCCAGGCGAGCAGAGGAAAAACTGGAAGGCTGCGTTCAAGAGGTTTAAATAAACCTCAATAGTGTCAGAGGCGTAGAGATCATTAATGGGAACTTAAGGATCCCACAGTAATGACTAGTGATGGGTGTCAGATCCAGCCTGGGCAGGAGGAGACACGTTCATTCTGGGGAAAAAAACACTTGGCAATAAAAACAATTTACACATCACATGTCACACTTACACAACTGTCTAAGAGACTGAATGTCTCTCCTCTTGTCTCCTTGAGAAAGACCTTAGCTGTAATGGTCAATGCCAGAGGAGGCAGTGAAGGGTTAAATAGAAGATGATGGTGACTGCAACACTCATCATTGCTCAACTGTCCCTGCACATTACTGAGATAAGCCTTCAAACTTTCCCTCTCCTCTCTCTTCCACTTCATATCACTTTGCTGACCTCTTTTTCTGATCCTTCAGTCTCTGTCTCTCTGTTTCTCAGTGTGTTTCACCAGAAAACCGGTGCATAAAGCCCAGGTCTGGACACACCGCAAAGACACTCACGCCGCATTGTTCCCTATACATTCTTTGTTGCATTGAAAGCAGTGGGTTAAACATTAGCCACGAACTGCCAATACACACCAAGCAGGCTGGCTGTGAGGTTAGTCATTTGTCTGGTTCTCTGTTCAACCAGGTTCACAGTATCTGCAAGGGTGTGTTCTTCAGTCATTCATTCCTGTTACTGTTGTTAAATGTACTGAGACTGAAACTGGTTTGTGTGGTAAACATGACTGAATTCCAGAGAACAGTACAGCCTGAAATACATAACACAGTTGCTGATGTATATGTTAGTCCAACCCCAGAACCAGAGTGCATTCCTGGAGCTGTGAAGAATGCCTGCGTCATACAGAAAGTTAGGCACAAACAGCTTACTTGTGTTAAAACTCTATTCGATGACCAAAAGCGAGGGCAGGTTGTGTGCTGTCGCCTTTGGGTGTTTGTATGTATCAGCACTCATAATTACAGCGCAGGACATAGAAATAACTGCATTACTAAAGCAGCTTGCACAGATTGTAGGCACGGGACAACAAAAACTAAAACCAAGACACTAGGAAAAATAAAACTGTACATCAACCAGACAAGAAGTCAGAGGACTGCAGCCCCTTTGTTAAGGGTGCACCTGTCCAAGGACCACCTGTCCCCTCTGCAAGTCAGCACCCAGAGATACAGCAGCTGACACAGTCAGTGCCAGAGAGAGAGGGGGGGGGGAGAGATTGGATTTCCTTTCTATTCTCCAGAGACATGGAGGGGGGAGAAGGGAAAGGGAGGATGTGAGCTGATTTCACGCTACATTGTAAGTTGTCATTTCTACACCACCCAAAATGTCCTGACTGTCACAAACCTTTTTTTTCTCCCTCAGTGGACACGCTCAAAGCAGAAAGATTAGACCACACTTCACAAGTTCACTCTCAACCAAATAATGTAAAGACTTATAGTCTGCGTTGTATTTTCATTTTGATTCCACAGCCAAACCTTCACCTGGGTAAGCTAAGCTCAGGCCTCAGGTCATATATCATCCACCCTGCTGAAGTGTCCATGAGCAAGTCAGTGTGTCTCTAGTATCTCTCGACACAAGTTCATCTACCTGACCTTGCCCTCTGACATGCCCAGCTCCCCTAAACAGACAGGGAGAGGGGAAAATGTCCATGTTGTTATTATATCATCCTGTCCTGTGCAGTGAGGCGACGGGAATAAAAACCAACCTCCACAGTCGTTATGTGAAACCACGGTTGAATACGAGGCACTGTCACATAATCAATCTATTTGTGGACAAACTGTAAGCCCGTGAGCCCTGTCACTAACACTAACATTAGCTATACAGTGCTGCCAGATGAAAACTCTCAACAATCCCATTGAGACAGCGGGAGCCGAGGACGCCGGGGACCTTGTAAACAAAGACACTCTTATTCAGTCATTTGGTCGACGGTATCGACGCTGCCAGACAGCGGTGTACTTCGCGAAGTCCACTCACGAATCGGTTATTCTTACCTCAGGTCGGTTGAAGGGGAATTATTCCTGTTTTTCAGTCGTCTGTGCGTTAACTTTTCACAGCCATCGAGACGATAAGTTCTTCCCGGGGTTGTACTTCAGCCTCCGTAACCTTTCCAAGCTTTAGCTTCGCGCGCTCCGCTGCCGCTGCATGTTTCAGACATTTGTGACAAAGACGTTTATGTGAGGCTTATTTTCGCTCCGTCAGGTACTAATGAGACTGATGAGACCGCGTCGGTTTACCTCAAACAGCCCAGGAAGGTAGGGGAATCTCCAAGGAGCAAATAGAGAGCGCACGTACGTCAAATGCGTAGCGGGGGGTAAGCTGCTGCTTACGTGCGCACGTAAACGTACGTAAAAGCCGTTCAAGAATGCGAAGGTCGAAAACTCAATCTCCCATGTTCAACACGGATATTTTCAACTAGGATATCCGGGTACGGATGCCGTCACCTTTGACCAACATAAATAACCAAATATACTATGCCAAACCGAAATAGATTTATATTGGAATCTAAATTTTGTCTTTTCCTTTGCTCTTGTTGGTTTATATTGTAAAAATGTCCTTGTTATGGATGCGTTTAAATCTTCAGTTTCGATTCCTCAGTGTCAGATAGTGGGACTCTGGTGTCATCTAGTGGCACTAAATGTATCATGCCAAGTTGAAACGGTATCAGTGTGAATAGTTAATTCTGTGAAGTACTTCCAGAAAAATCCATTTGTTTGTCACTATAACAATACCAAAAGCCTATGGAAGGACTTGAGAAGAATTTATTATTGATAATATTGAGTCTGACACTTTTATTCCCTGAATAATGTGTGGGTTGGTTTCAATAAATGTACTGCCAACAAAACAATCAAAGAGTATTATATTCATTATTATTAATGTCCTCTTTGTAAATGTGCATTTTCCCCTGGCATTTTGTTTTCTTTATCTTGGTCACTTTACTGTGATTGATTAAGCATTTACCAATGGTAATGCGAGTGGGTGTTCTTTAACAAACACCCTCTAGTTTTTAAAGACTGCCAATAGAGGCAGAATCCTTATTGACCTACTGTAGGATCACTTTGTTCACAGGGATCATATGTAAAGAGAATTATGTAAATAGGAACACTGACCAACACAAAGTAACATTTGGGCTCAGTAAATAAGTCCCTCTGACTACCTATAAGATAGATAGATAGATAGATAGATAGATAGATAGATAGATAGATAGATAGATAGATAGATAGATAGATAGATAGACTTTATTAATCCCTGAAGGGAAATTGGGTCGTCATAGCAGCCAGGTACATTAAAATACAATAAAAATACAATAGAATTAAAAAAAAATGCTTCTATTGCTGCTAGTATAATATAAATATTGGTAGTTATGTATGGAAGAATTATGTATGCTGTAATAATGTGCAATTTGGATCTCTGTAATAATGTTTTGTTCATGTTCATTTGTTCAAATGGAGCAGCTTTGACGCATGTGACATTTCATCATACTGTTGTTGAATTTGACGTATCATATCATGTCATACCGCCAACAGTTCAGTTACTCAAGTGATTGTTGTTGTTGCTGCTGCACTATTACTAAGCCCTCCTTGGGTACACTTTACTTTGATTTATTTTCTTATGCGTGATTGCTTTGAAGCACTTGAACTGCAGCCTAAAATGCACTGTCCCTAAAGTTTGACATATTGTAGTACTATATGGCCACTAATCATAGGGTACTATCCCTGCCACTATTACTAGTACGACTACTTACTTCTGCTGGCCTACAGTTTTATAACTGCTCTCAGTAGCCACTACAGTCCTCTGATTACTCATTGTCTGTCTGTCTGTCTGTCTGTATGTATGCTTTGAAGCTCTTGCAGAATGACATCAAGGGAAAAATAAAGTTACACTTCTGATAGTCTGATACTCTAGCTCCAATATTGCAGGCCACTACATGACCTTTTACATCACAGTGTATTGATGTAATTAATGAATGAATGGTTATTGTCTTGACATCATGAAATGGAAATAAAAAGTTAATATATGCCTCTAATTCTAAGGGACGTTTTTGTACCAAAATGTTGACTTATTGTGCTTCCTACAATGTTATAACTACCTTATGCTTACTTGAATATTTCCGTCTGAAATATATTTTTATATTTAGGTTTATGTAGTATTGCTATAAAGTCATTTTTTCCCCAATCAGAACTTTAATATTTCCAGTCGACCTAAATAATTGTACTATTTGAACCTAACTTTTCAGCAAACTACAAACCAACACTAGTTAAGTTCACATTTGCTGACTCTTCCAACAATATAAGATATCATTTATTGAGGATTTAATTTAACCACGTTGTTATGTTTACCAAATTGACTTGTTTGCTATTCCTTTAAAACCATGAGTGAAATTTAGATTTCATTATAGCATAAAAAGTAGCATGTGAAACGTTCAGTGAGTCTGGATTATCTCTGTTAATACCGGTGTCACCCGGTTTGTTTGAACTGGGAAAGTTCAAAGGATTAGGCCAATATCAACAGGGTCGGTTTGCTTCAATAATGAGATAACAGGGCGAAGTCTAAAAACCCATTAATGTCTTATTAAGATAATTGTCCTGTGTGCAATCAATCGCCAGAATTTACTTGGACTGTCTTTGAACCATTGCAGAAAATAAAACCCAGGGTTTGTTTTGGGTGAGTGATTGTTCCGTGCGAATTACACTAATAACCGTAATGGAAGTTCACAAATTAATTATAGGCCGTAGCATATAATATATATAAATATATAAATCACTGGAAAAAATACAGCCTGCCATCGTTTAAGAGACACGAACTAGACTATAACTCTCTCGGATTATAGTGATTTATCTTCAGGCTTGAGTGAGGCGGAGCAAAGCATCCTTTGATAGAAGCAGACAGAGAGTTGAGAATGAGTCTGGGCGGAGAAAGTTAAGTTACCGCTGGAAGTTGTTCCTCACATGTAGTGCTAGTAGTTCCCAGTGTCGACATGATACGCGTTTAGGAAATGTTCGTACCGGCGTCACAACCTTAATCTTTTACGCATACCGACAGTGAGTTAAGTTGTTGACGGTAGCTAACCGCGACTCAGGCCGGGAGGGAAAAGGATTTC